CGTCTCACTGCTCGAGGGAGGCGGTGGCAGGGTCTCGCTGCTCAGGCTCAGAGGCGGTGGCAGGGTCTCGCTGCTCAGGCTCAGAGGCGGTGGCAGGGTTTCACTGCTCGAGGGAGGCGGCTTGCTGGTAGTCGACGTGGTGGTAGTAGTCAGCGTAGTAGTGGTGGTCAGCGTGGTAGTCGTGCACTCAGACAAAGAAGGGGAGAATGGAGGTGGCAGGGTCTCACCGCCCGATGACGAAGGAACAGTCTCACTTGAAGAAGGAGGGGATGTTTCGCTGCTCGAAGGAGGAGGCTTGCTGGTAGTTGACGTGGTGGTAGTCGTCGACGTAGTTGTAGTGGTCAGCGTCGTAGTTGTGCATTCAGAGGAGGGGGACGGCCCAGTTTCACTGCTAAGAGGAGGCGGAACATGATACAGGCTCAGCGAGGTTGGCGACGTCGTTGGCTCCGTAGTCAGGCTGCTTTCCTCTTCGCATGGAGTAGTGGACAAGCTCGGCCCGTTAGGCTCAGACTCCGTCGACAGCGACTCAATGGGAGGTGAGGTCGTAGACTCAGATGGACCAGGTAAGTTCTGCTTTAAGCCGCGCTTAGCGAAACGCCCCGGTATGCCATATGCCAGTGCTCCTGTTGCCAACGCAACAAGAACCACCCGGTTTAAGAGCATGACGTGGAAGGTGAACGAAAGCTAGACTGGCGGACCAACATCTTTATAATGCCTGGGTGTGTGATTCTGTGTGACAGGTGAACTTATTTTAACTCAAAAAATATCGCTCAAATACCTGCAGGCGGCGTTCGGATACGCAAGGTTATACGGCCAACACCAACGCCTATCGCAGCGTACTGATTGCCAAGCAAAAGGAAGCGACAACTAAAATTTATCAACAGTCAAGCTTAACGAACGACCGCATGATTTAGTAACATCAAGTTCCCCATTTGTTATTAGAAGAAGACAACTGTGCCCCTGAGTTTGCAAGGAACCCTCCTGCCGTTCGATGAGGTGGCGACGCTCGCGGCCGCCTGACTCTTCCCAAATAGGTTGCGACATCGCCCCAAGTGGGGGGTCGCAAATCGTGTAGGAGCAACGAGGCGAAGAGTGACTGTGGGGTGGCTGGCACAACCTTATAGCTCACTGCTCGGAGAATGGAAACGACAAGATACTATAACCTTAAGGTGCCGACACCAGCAAACAGAAGGCTTGAAAAATGCTCAGGAGAGATGGTATAGCTTAATTGAATTGGTGTAATCAAGAGCTTTGCATGTTAGATTGGCTAATGTGCCAATCTGGGTTATTCTTGTTACACTTAAAGCATTAGGTGCAAATGGAATGAGAAATGATATACATATCCAGACATCCAAACAAGGGGGGCTTTTGAGCACGGTCTCATGTCCACACCGAAAGTGCGAATCAAGAGGTCGTTAATGTAGTTTTGTGGTACTTGCGTCTCAGGGGGGAACGGGCAGGAGGACGCACCCTGTACATAATGAATCTCATCACGTTTTAATCGGTTGCGTAAACATGAGTCTACTCTCTGATATTATCTTGACTACCTCGATCCTCATCGCCCGCTGTGCGCCATAGGTACTCCCACCATAACTGAAAGGCCAATCAATCTGAATGCATTATCATAGTTGCAACATTAAGAAGAGCAGTAAACCATAGTGATACCTTTGCTGGAAAGCGGGTTTCATCCTATGTCGAAAACAAGGTTCGATGCATTAAGGTGCCACCAATCGGCTCGGTAGGCGTTGTTGCCAGCTTTGGACATGTTGTTCCAAGTTAAACCAATCGAGCACTCATCCAAATTAGCCGATTCAATACGTAAGACTTTAGACCATCCTAATCACCCAACCTGTTGATTCACATGCATGATAATTCAAAAATTCTCCATGTCCCTGAAAACGAACACTATGAGGCGTTCACCTTGCTTGTTTACATTTGAATACCGATCTGATTAGCAATAATTGAGTTTGCAAGCCTCATTATTCCAATTGGCACACGATGCGACCATTATCGCGAATAAATGAATCGGTACCCACAGTAACTTTGTGGAGAAGGTGAAGCAGTTTGAATAACGCTTTCGCCAAGAATTTCCCATCATCGTCAACAACGAAACAATTCGGGAGATGTGTGCGACGTTCAACTAGACATTTGTGCGCTATCAAGTCGGGCCAAAAAGGCAGACTGTAGCTCAGACACTCAAGATCAAACACCTGAAGCAAAGGAAACCGCACAACAAGCGGTATGACATCCTCAAGAATAGGTTGCCACACAACATGGAGTTTCAACCATCGTAAATTGACGCTGTCAAGATTGGTGAGAAATGGTACCGACAAGAGCGGTATCAGATTCAGGCGCAGATCCAAATAGGTGGGAGGGACGTTCACCGAAATTGAAAGCGCCAGAAGGTTGTTGAGATAAGCGGCAATCAGGGGACACTTTGTGGTGTATTCAAAATGGAGAGCTCGAACTTTTTCCCAAATGACACTCTTAGCTATAGCCGGATTCATGGGCCCATACACGATAAGTTTGTCAACAGACACTTGGCCACTGCCCAACCCCAGATCTTCCTCGCGAACACACAGTAATTGGAGGGTGTTTAAGTGAGTGTTAGCAAAGGTACTGAATACTTTGGAGACTGGTCTGTGGTAGCAATTGACATGGATTTGTTTACACGGGGGCTTACCGCGTAAATGATGGAGTTGATGAATACCAATCGTGAGATGGTTGAGGGTGGGACGCTCCAAATTAAGGAAAACCGTCAGAACTCTCCCTGTCAAGTCGATAAAGTTGGCTTTAGGGAACACATTGGCAAGAACCTTGACACGCAATTCTGTAAGGCCGTCAAACACGATTGTAGTGAAAGGTATCAGCCACAGTTCGACCAATATATAATCAGGCACAATGAGAAATCGATGCAGAGTAAGTGGAGCATACCGCTTGTGTAGATAAACCCGCAGCATTCTCTGGTCAATGCAAATTTGGCGCATTCTTTTCAGTGTTACCAGCAACCGTAATACATCGTCTTGCTGTAGAAAAGAGCAGATGTCTTTCCAAGTGCTATCGTTGAACCAATTGTGAGTACGGTCAAATATCAGTTTCTTCACCGGTAGCAGGTCCTGTGGTGCGGCGTCCTCTGTGTCATTGTGTTTTCGCCGCTTAGCTTGAGATATGTGACTGTCTTCAAGGTCGGGAATCAAGTCTTCAACATCGAGTACAAGTCGTCGAAGCTGGACGGTAAGCCTCTGAACAAGCTGACGACGTTCAGGGACATCATTTGCTTGCACATCTTCTTTAAACTTATTGTAGAGCTTATCGCAAGCTTCAAGAAAGCGGTCCTCCATCGCTTAGTCTCAAAAATCCCCGTCAATGGTAGTCTGACAATGGTTTAACGGCAATGGGGAATCCAGCAGAGTAATTGTAGCGATCAATTGAGGAGGTGTTGGTTCGCTTTGTGGTGGTCAGTGATGTGCGGGAGGGTAACTGACGCGCGCACCACATACCAACACGGCTTTGATCAAAGGTACGCTTGTTGCATCGTGATTGCTAGCAATGAAGTGAGAATTTTTTGAGAATGTTTTCGAGGTTTTCGAGTCTGAGCGGCTTGGTGGCAAATATCAGATGATGGTATGTTTCATCTGTGTTTGTTTTGTTTCGAGTTCAGATATTTACCAATGTGCGCTACGCTCACTAATTACATGGCTAGAGCTGTCCCATGTGGGTGTCCTCTTCTTCGCCTTTACACAATGGATACTACAGATCATGAAGAAATCAAGGATAAGCTGGCTATGGTGGTTCTAGACAGAACAAAACTACAATCCATTGCAGTAACTTGATATTTTAGTCTATACCCATTCTACGTGTCGACAGCAGTATCATGAGCGTCTGTGATACCCTCAGTATCGGGAGCAGCCTTGAGTTATCTGGATTATCATTGATGGGATCGACCGATGAACAATCATCCACGATAATGTAAACATTCTTGGCCCCAATGTGGTAGCAAGGCTCTAGACATCCTCTATTGTAGACTCTCCGGTAGCGCTTAACGTATCGTTGAAAGGTAAACTTAGTGAATCGTTTCTTCTTCAACTTCCGATTAAGCAAACGATTACTTCTTCGAACACCTTTAATCGTGCCTTTTGATTGTTTCAGACGCGATGACAGCTTATAGAGGGGGAGCACCAATTGCGTTGGAGTATATTCGGAATCATGAAAAGAGGAGTCTGACGAAGTTGAACTCTCTTGCGATGAATTATCAGGGAGCTCAGCATGCACATCAAAAGACAGTGATTCATGAGGCACCTCCTTATTTGTTCCAGCTTTTAATGGGGTGGAAGGTGAAGATACATTCGTTGAAGTCACATCAAACTGATTAAGGTGAGGTTCATAACATGTAACATGATTGGGAGATACCGGCTCTGGCTTCAATACCATCTCTAAAGCTGTAGCTTTTGTTGGTGATTCTTTTGATGTATCGACTTGAGTGACAATCACAGCCAGCTTTGTGATCGACAATAAAGCGTCACGTAACGCCTTTGCCACTTCTGGCAGCAATCTATCGTCATATCTCTCCAACACTTCAATTGGTTTTAACCGCATATCCAGCAGAACCACCATTAACATTTCAACCACTTGAGAGATGGCAGTTTTCGACGACAATTTCACTTTCCCCGAAACAAGTCTTGGGAAAATCTCTTTAGCGACATACAGTGACACCTGCTGCCCTTTATTCAAAATTATCGTTTCAACAGCAGCGGGAACAATATTCCAAAGCGAATTTATTATCGTCACAACCTTGCCACCATAACCATATTCGAGGCGTACAATCCAAGAAATGAGTTCTTGACATTCTGTAGAGAAATCATTGGTGAGACGTTCCGGTCGGGCAAGCTTACAAACCACTTTTAGTGCCGTTTCTGTGAGTTGATCCGAAGGTTTGTTCAGTAACACCATTGTAATGCCTTTGACGTACAACGACACGTCTGTAGAGAGTGGCTTATTAGAGCTGAGATATTTGAGTAGATTTTCACAAAGTAGGTGTTTGGACAAGTCCAGCTCGTTGAGTAGAGACATCATTTGCAAGAATTTGACCCCAGAAACATAGGTGGTTCTGTTGAGCAGCATTTTGTAGCGAAGGAGATAACAGATTGAATTGAGCGGTTGTTTACCGTCCGTTGTTGTTGATCTCAGCTTGGAGGCACATAGTTTGATGTGCATTAGTTGTTTCCTCTTCAGTTTCACAATGGAAGGGTACGTTTTGAAAAGAGGCAGTGAATGGTAGCATCAATGAACATAATCGATTCATTCCTAAGGCTCAGATTAACATGGAGCAAGGCAAAAGTCGTAGACCTATGAATTATATTGTATTGCTGAAGATGTGTGCACTCAGCTCACTGAGATCAGTTGAAGTCGATTCGACTCACGTGTGGGAGTATGTGAAACAATACATAAAACTTCATATGTTGAGGAAAGTCATAAACGGAACCTAACACCTCATCAGCTTGTGTAACTAGGAATGGCTCCTCACCGGTATGTAACTAAAATTATAGTACTATAAAGTTCACATAGAACCAAAACCCTCCTGAATCAAATAGAGAAGTTGATAGTGGTGTTAGATTTACCATCATAACACTCAGATTAAGAAGATCCTTACATCATTAGTGAATTTCGTATATTGATTAAGTTTGAAAATGGAGACCAAACTTATTGGTCTCCCAGTAATATCGCCGACAACCCCATGAGCCCGAGCAAACCGTACTTGAAGTAGATATTCTCAGAGATCAAAATGGTGATGTAGCCCAAAAACGGCACGTAGCCCCATACGGTACCGACAAGGTCAGCGTCGTGATCAAGGTACTGTTGTCTGCGGGCGTATAACAGCAAGTCGTCAGTAGGGTTGTTGTCCCCTTTGGTCAATAGTTTCTGGCCGTCAGCCGTCTTGTGTTCTCTCAATACCCGATGGACAATGGGGATGGGTTTCCCTTCAATTTCGTACACGACAATGTCCCCGACCTTATTCTCCTGGAACCGGTTCCAAAGGAACAAGATGTCGCCTCTTTGAAACGCCGGTTCCATTGACCCCGACAATACCACGACAATGGGCGAGTGGGAGTTGGCGACGACCCCGAGCGTTTTCCAAAGCACGAACGCCAGCGAGAACACGTAGGCGAGCGTCAACCCTTGGGTCAATTGCTGGCGTAACTTCATGGTAATTCTTTTGTCTCTTTCTATTAGGTGTTAGCAATCACGAGTGGATTCAATTGCCGATGTTCCTTTCCTTTCCTGTTATGGTAGACTGACAACACTCCCCACCAATTTGTTATGGACACGTCTGGATAGTGCGCTCTCACTTACACACACTCAACCTCGGTGGCAGTTAAAGTCCTCGCGGGCTCAGGGGACGCGCACGCGAAAATCAAAAACCTGACTACCTGCAGGACGCTCAGCCTATCCTTCAAGCGATGACGAGCGCATTAAAGAAAAACCGCAAACAACTGACCGATTCACTTGATTTGCCGTTACCCCACCACATGCACATGGACGACGACGGGCGGGATAGTCACGAGGAAAAGCTGTCTTCGCTAGCAGGGGGCGAGGGTGCCCTTAACCCCAGTGGCGACGCCGCCACCCCGAGCGCTGGTGGCGCCACAGCCGCGGCTATCAGCGCCGCCCCTACCGCCCCCACCACCACTAGTTCAGGGGTGACCGACAAGAAGACGCCCCGAACTCCTCAGATCATCTCCTGCCGCCCGCAAAACTTGCCCCCGCCCATCATCCAGTCGCTGCTGCTGCAACACCAGGCGACGGCGCCGTCGCCGCCAGCGCTGACGGTGGCGGCAGGGGTGTTACCGCTGAGACAGTCGCTGCGCACCGCCAGCCCTCATGAAGCGGTGCCGTTACCGCCTCATTTACTCGGTAAGACCGGTCCTGTCGTTAGTTTCAGCGAGAACGACGGCGAACGGCTGCGGCGCCTCACGATCTCGTCGCAACCGTCGTCGGCTAATATCCACACCACGCTGGGACCACCGCTGCGCAAACCGCTGGTGACCATCAGCCGCAAGAACTCGCAGCTGACGGATATGTTCACCTCGTTGCCTCAAGGTGCGCTGGCGACGCTGTCGCCGCGCGTATTGTCGCCAATCGACCCGCAGGCGTCGCCTAAGTTACCGTCGCCTGTAATCGGCACCAGCTTCAAGCCTAAGTTTATGACGTCGCCGCTGCCGCCGCCGGTGGCGATCGACGAGCTGTTAGTGCTGCCGCAAATGCTGCGAGCCCTGCTGCTTAAACGTGAACAGCAAAAGAAGCAAGTGGTGGCGAGTCCCTCAGGCCCGCCGGTGCCGTTCCAGCACTTTTTACAGTTTGCCGACGACGGCAAGTTCCACATTTTGTTGGCGTGTACCGGTTCGGTGGCTACGATTAAGATCCCCCAGATTTGCGATAAGCTTTTCCAGATCTACGGGCCCCAACGGGTGCTGATCCAGCTTGTGGTAACGCAAAGCGCCGCCCACTTCCTCAAGGGTCAGAAGATCCACCTGGAGGTGAAGATCTGGCGCGATGAGGACGAGTGGGCCAATTTCGCCGACCACAACCCCACCAAGACGCAAGCGCCGCTGACGCTGACGGCGCCGCCGCCCAAGAAGCCCAAGAACCCCTTTGAGAAGATGATCTTACACAACGAGCTCCGGCGGTGGGCCGATATCTTGGTGGTGGCGCCGCTTTCGGCTAACACCTTAGCCAAGATCGCTAACGGTATTTGTGATAACTTGCTCACGCTGATCATCCGGCTGTGGGGGCCGGTGAACCCCAGTCTGGCCAAGAAGCCGATCATCGTCGCCCCCGCCATGAACACGTTCATGTACACTCACCCCATCACCGCCAAACAGCTCGCCTTAATCCAGCTGGAGATGTTCGGTATCGAAGTGCTCAAGCCGGTGGAGAAGGTGTTGGTGTGCGGTGATATCGGCATGGGTGGCATGCGCGAGTGGCTGGACATCGTCGAGATTGTCCGTCGCCGGGTAGCGCAAATCAAGCAAGAGCGCAACGAGCTTGAAGGCGTAGCCCACGAGGAGGATGACGACGAAGATGACGACGAAGACGGTGGTGACCACGACCACGATGACGAGGATGATGATGACGACGACGACGACGATGATGACGACGATAACGTCGCCGACGTCCACACCATCCCCGAGGAAGACGAAGAGGAGTCGGGCGAGCACCAGCTAGTGGTGGAGCTTGGTCCCACTGGCGACGACGAGGAGCAGAAGCTCCCGATCCCGCCGCAAACGCAAAACATCATCTAGTCCGGTGATGTCCCCCCCTTTTTACGAAATTATGCACATTCCAATAGGTCTCTCAGAATTCTGGTTTCTCTTTTTTGTGTTCGTCATTGGGTGAATTGTAGAGAAATTCCGTCTCTCTTTTTCCGTTTGTGGGTGAGTTGTAGAGAATTTCACCGTCACGTAAGTTTACCCGGTGAGCGCATTTATTTAGCCTAATGACCGGGTTAAATTGCATTAGCTCCGATCGCCAGAGCTAAACGGATGTCGGCAACAATTGCACCGTCACCTCCTTCAATTTTTCCGGATGTAAACATTTACCAATTACCCGTCCGTTACGCGCTTACGCTACTGCATGGCTGGCTGAAAGCCCCCTCTGCGGGCGCCATGCAACTGGTGGGCGTAAACTATGGCAGCTGGAGGTCTCGACTTTCCGATGATGCATTTGTTTTTCTTTCCTCCCTTCTGTTTTTCCCTTATGTACTGATCCTCCTTTTTGCTGTAGCTGTGAGGGCGACGCGCTCGCACGGAAATTTGGGGAATGCCAGCCAGCCATCAACCTGCTTCCCACACACAGTTACGCGCTTTCCTTAAACAGCAAATTGATGGCGTGGGCGGGATCACGAGCGTGTACGACGACCTACGAGTCAACTACGACCAACTACGACAACAACAACACTTCGATGATCCTCATTCTTTAAATGTCTTTTCGCTACCTGTAACTGCCAGTCCCATTGTTATTCTTTTTAAGCCTCGATGTCGGTGAAGCCTTTGCTTTTTCGCTACGGAGGCAGCAAAATCCCGCGATGTCAACAAAACCGCACTGGCGCTAAAAAAACGGGACCTCGCTGTGCAATGTAATACGGTGCAATGTAACGCAAACACCCTACCGCTAGACGAGGCCTGACGCGGGGTCGCGGAGGGGCCAGCCCCATCCCGGTTAAACCGAGACCATAACAAGACCTAACCGTGTTTGTCTTGGTCCAAAGCTGTCTGATCGTTAGGTCATCGACCCGGACTCGCCGGTAACAAAATCGGCCCGTTAAGCTTTTGTGTAACCTGTCACGGAGTCATTTCGGGAAAACTCAAAAAACCACTCGAGTGGCAAAATTTGTGGCAAAAAACTGCAACAAAAGAAACAGTTCTACAGTGTTGGTTAATGTGGAGGGTCGGCTCCATGTAATATTAATTAGTTAGACCAGCTGAGCTATATAGTACACGCCAGAACGGCAAACATGGTGGGAGTCGAGCACTCTTACAAGAAGAGGGCGACACCGGCGGCGGCAACGACACCGGCAACACCAGCCGAGACGACGTGGGCACCCGAGCCGTGACCACCGGAACCGTTGGTACCGTTGTGGCCAGCAGTGCCGTTGTGGCCGGCGGTGCCGTTGTGGCCGCCAACAGCGGTGCCGTTGGAGGCAGCACCACCTTCAGTGCCGTTGACACCGGCAGCAGCGACGATCGAGGCAGCAGACAAAGCGAGGATGGCAGTAGTGGCTTGCATTGGAATAGATGTGTAGTGAAGAAGGAAAAAAAACTGACGGAGAGGGGCAGCTGTATTTATATGCTGACAGACAGACTCGGGCTGCTGCTGGGGCTATGGCGCCATTCACGTGCCCCTCCATCGAGGATGTCGGTGCGTCACCGCGCAAAAAATAAAAAAGAAAGCACAGTGCTGACGGCACTTAAGGGTCCGCTGCGGCGTCTCGGGTTCGTTGCTTTTTGCTCTCGACCCCCATTCACCTAGCCTAACTCAGCGATACCAAAAACACTCGGTTTGCGGTGATGGAATACCGTATAGGATTCAACTAAAATTCACGAGAATGAAGCGGTGCCTCACTTATGGTCACTTCGCAATAAATATGGGGTGCAGGTGGGAGTCATTTTCGGCGGGATATTGGTGGCGGTGCCAGCTTCGGCACCGCTCGGGGCTCCACCCATGCGGGGGTGCATGGCACTGGTCCTGCACCCAATTTAGGACGCCCGCATACAGGAACGAAAATTTTTACTGTTGTGTTTGCCAACCTTGCTTCTCAGTGTCCGCCTCTGACTGCGCCTCCAGGTGCGGTCCCCGGCGTGGCTTTTGCCGAAACAGCCCCATCCTCCCCCTACAGAACCCCCACCCGTTGCCGGGACAGCGTATCTGACGACAGATCATGCCAAGAACCACCCCCCGCTCTTCCCCCCGTGGCTGCGCCTTACGCGGTCAAAAAAGAACCCTCGTATTGCCGTGTGTCTCCCTGCCCCTCTTCTTCCCTACCTACCTCTATTATTCCTCGAACGGCGCTAACACATTCCCTCACGCGCACACAAGAAATCGCACTAATTTGCTAGTGCACTAAGATTTTTACTACGGGCGCGCGGTACCCAGCTCGTACGCCCCATCGCGTCTTTTGCTAGCAAAAACGAGAGACTCGCGCTACGCGACAACCACAAACACGACCTACAATTAAAGCCACGTCGAGCCTGGCCCCCACGAATACGACCCTACGACCAAGACGACCCGCCTGCCTCCCCAATCTAGTCAAATTCACGTCACCACCTAAACCGTACCAGGCGAATGAAGATCACCGCCGCCGTGATCCGCCAGGTGGCTGCCTTAGCGGGGGTAGCAGCGCGCCCCACCAAAGGAGCCACTATCGCCGCCATAGACGAGTACGTGGAAATGGTGGCTCGATTACCCGTGGGACCAGTGGTGGGAGTCGACATTGGCATCAAGAACTTCAGCTGGTGTGTACTAGCTCCCCAAACCCCGATAACCCCGGCATCGGTGTTTGATTGGGGCACCGCTGATCTCCTCACCACGCCCTACGAGGCGAAAGCCGGGCCTAGCCACCCGCTCGATACTCAACGCCAGCTCATTGCTCTGATTAACCAGCGTACGGCGTCGTGGGCTCGCCACCAGCCGCAATTGGTGGTGGTGGAAACTCAGCGCCCAGCATCAAACACTAACCAGCGGACTTTGCCGGCAGTGCTTGCCAATATCCGAGTGGAACTGTGGGTGAGCCAAGCTTGCTATCCCACTATCGTGGTGCCGATGACCCTGGCCCAGATGGCCTCATTTTGGCTCCACCGGTTCTTTTGCCGGACCTCCTTGCCCAAAACGTCAAAGCCCCTTCGTGTAGGGCTATGCCAACAAATATTGGCGGTGCTGAAACAAGACATCCGGGCTCAGGCCAACATCGACGCCCATAACAAGATCGACGACGCCGTCGACCTGTTTCTCTACGCGACCGCCGGCGTCGAACAGCTAGCGTTCTGCCGTCATCTCGCCGCGCTCGACGGCGTCGCCGCCGCCAGTGCCCACCAGCCGCAAGCACTCCTGCTGCTAGTGACGCAGTTCCACCACCGACACTTCCGCTGGGCGCAGCCGTTGCTCGAGTTGCCGGGGCTACGCCTGCCACTAGCGGTGACGCCGTTGGCGGCGTCGCTCGCCCAATCCGGGTAAGAGATTGCTGACAGGCGGCTCTGCCTCCTCCCCCCAAATTTCCGTTCCTTTTTGTTTTAATTTGACTGCGCCTGGATCTAACTTTATCGATGGTGACACTTCCGAGCCTGAGAGTGATTTTAACGACATGAACTCAAAAACGAATACATGGCGATTACTTGGCGCTGACTCAGCTCTCCTTTCCTGTTTAAGCTAGCGGGTTATCGGGGCTCATACGATGTGGTCAAATTGCCTCAAATGCACCCCTCCTTCCTCGGGCCTGAAAAGAAGATTTATCCGGCAGCAGCGGAGCCAGCAATGGAGGTAGACTGCAACCAGCTGCGCCCGTGGTGGTGGGGGGTTTGCGGGGCCTCCGGATGCGGTAGCAGTGCGTTATTGATTGCTACGACACTGCTAATACCAGCAAAACTGACTCTGGCATTAATCCGAGAGGCGCATGCGATGAGATCCCCCAAAACCCACCCGCAGCCCCACTAGGATATACCGGCTCCCCAATCGGGGCAGCGGGAACAGCGGTGCCACAGTTCCTTATCATCAGAAAATGTCACCCCGAAAATAGAAATGTCACCTATCTCTGCGTTATCACGTCGTTATCGGTGACTCAGCCGTACCCCATGACCAACGCAAGTGTCTGCACTCACCACCTTCCATCACCTTCCACCACCTTCCACACGTGTAATCTAGCATCTTTACTCCGATAGTGATGGTACGGCCACTAACTATACACCCTCATCGACAAGCAAATTCATTTAAAGCTATCATAATTGAGGCTGCCGACAATTCATAACACCATGTGAATTTGTGGCGCCTGTCATGTCACGTGGGCTCATCGCCGGCCGACGTCTCAAAATGAATTGTGCCACAAACCAATGAAAAAATTAGCTCATAGCAAAGGTGTTTCATTGTTCCTAGACGCCTCAAATTCCCAACAATTTCGTATCTACAGTAAATCTTCGAGATGATTGCCGTTTATTTTTAACTTCCAACCGTTGAGACTCGGTCAAATCATTATAGCGAAAATTACCCAGAAGTTGCTCTAGCAACACAATTTTACATCCAAAAATTTACAGCTTACGCCGCTCTAGGTTTGGCAGGCACACGCCTTAGCTCATTCTATATGGCTCAGTCAATGGAACAGTGGCATTTTTGGCCACAGTTATTGATGCACAAAACATCGCGTGAGAGGTTAGAGTTTCGGATATTATCGTGGTTGTTTGTCAAGGTATTGAGGTAGTCATCAATTGATGAGTTGTAGTAATCCTCTGTGGTTCCTATTGGGAAAGACTTGTGCTGTCCGTCATTCTAGATGTCATTCTCCAGTATTTCTTCTATTGTCTTCTCTATGCTAGTTGCCGGCACTATATACACTGACAGGGCTGGTATCTCATCAACCTTCACTTCTTATCCAGACGAGCCATGGGCCCCCAGTTCTTCTCCGGGTTTTCCTGGTAACGAACGATCTTAAGCTTCCGCAACAGGTGGACGTGCTTAGCCTCGTCATTCTCGGTAGTGAAGTCGACCGTGGGCAAGTCGGTTTGTTGCTTCAAGTATTGCAACACTTTGTACCCCGGGCTTTGCTCGTTTAAGTTGGGGGAGCAGGTAGGATCTTCAGTGATTAGTTTCACTTTATTTTGGATCAGTTCCTTTTCCAGGTTGGCGTGTTCCTTGGCGTAGTTGGCGTTGCTCTTAGTCAACCACTGGCGGGTCACTTCCAACACATCTCTCCACGGAGCCGTGGTCTTGACACAGTTCCGCTTGGCGTGAGTGAGGGAGATCTTGTACCCCAAGTTACCAATAGCCTGACAGAAGTCGTCCATGGGCACTGGTTGAGCCTTAACCAACAGCGACACCGTATTAAGGTTTAGGTAAAAAGGAACGTCTTGAAGCTCCAGACGGGCAAGCGTAACCATCCCTTCAATACGACTGCGAGTATGGTACACTTCGGGGTCGGCTTCGCGGTTGACTTCGAGGATTTTGTCCAAATAATCGGTCGAGTGGATGGGACCGCCCCACATGGGACCGGCGATAGTATAGCGACCACCACAGAAGCGACAATTAGACCCCGGCAATTCCTCATTTAATTTAGGGTAACCACACTTGTGGGGGCCTTGTTGGATGCCGAACAGCTGGTTCACTTTGTGGCCACAGCCAGTACATCCAAACAGTACCATGGTCTGTTGAGCAAGCTTCTTCACTTCGACAGGTTTATGCGACACTCTGATGAAACAACGGAGGTAGTAGTCGATGGAGAACAGAGCCAACGGTTCGATAGCCTTACCGTAGCGGGCAGCGATGTTACTCACCATCCCCAAAACCAAACGAAGCCCCACTTCGTGGTTGGTATCGTTTAAAGAGTAAGCAGCGCCGAAATTGTTACCTCCGTATAATGAGAAACACTTTTCCGGGTACCCCGAACCGGCCCACACCCCGGCATCAGTACAGGTGACGAGCAAAAGCCCGTTGTCCTCAAGACACAGAATGGCCGAGTCGACAAACATCAGCGCCGTTCCGTAAGGATCAAGGTCCACCACGTTAAACTTTTGAGGGGTCAGAGCCATAAACTTGATGGCATCGCCCAAATTAGTCGATACAATGTCTCCCGTCTTGTTATGGTCGATATTGCGTTGGATCAGAGTCACCGCTTCAGGGAGCATATCATTGGCGACGATCTTCTTAACGTGAGGAATCTCCAACGCATACCGGTTAGCCCGGAGCCCTGTCGCCGAAAGGGCTTCGAGAATCAGGATCTCCTTAGCCACACGTCGCCGTTTAGCCACCAGGGCGTTCTCCGCCTGTCTCATCTCGTGCCAGGCACGGATGCCCAACACCGAAAGGTCACGGTTGAAGCACTGGATCTTGTTGTAAAACACCTTGGACCCGTCCAGAGGGACGAGGATCTCCGCCCGGCCCTCGCGGATCGCCTGGAACCCTTCCTCCATTGCGCGTGCAACCCGTCTCATCGCGCGAGATGACTTGTGCGCCGGTGGTGTGGGGACACCCCATGAGCCATACTAACGACAGCAAGTGATGGTAGCAAATTTTGATATTACTAGTTGGAAAGTAGTAATGGCATCAAACAATCTACTTCATCGTATCATTGGACCCAAATATTTGTAGTTTTAGTCATACCAGAACCTCACTATCATCAGTGTCACCAGTATAAGTCGATGTGGTAATTTCTTCATACTTCTGCAACTACCTTGAGTAGTTGTTATTGACAATATTTGATGTCACGCCATGTGTGTTTCATAGACCTTGTCAATATTCTTCAGCTGAATACTTCCAGAAGGTTGCCCCATCCCAGAACCAATAAATTAAATTAAGCTGAAGTATTTCACATCATCAAGTTCTACACTAACTAGAGCCTCTACACATTCATAACACCTTCCAATTTTCATTTCTTTCTCTCCAATTCTCGCCTCACCGTCTGCCTCACCGTCAGCCTCATCTTGCCGTTTTTGTCTCACATCTGCGCATCCCTCACTACACCACCCTCAACCAAGTACCTCACGATGGGAGTGCCGGCGTTATTCCGATGGCTCTCACGCAAATACCCCAAGATCATATCGCCGGTGGTCGAGGAGGATGTCGACGTGGAGTTTGGCAAAGGCAACTACGCCGACCCCAACCCCAACGGCGAAATCGATAACTTATACTTGGACATGAACGGGATTGTCCACCCCTGTTCCCACCCAGAGCATAAGCCGCCGCCTGAGACTGAAGACGAGATGTTTTTGGATATTTTTGAGTATACTGACCGGGTTTTAATGATGGCAAGACCCCGAAAAGTGCTCATGATCGCTGTCGATGGCGTGGCGCCTAGAGCGAAAATGAACCAGCAACGAGCGCGGCGGTTCCGGTCAGCGATGGATGCTAAGCTTAAGGATGAAGAGAAGCAGCGGGAAATCGCTGATCGTGAAGCTAGGGGTGAAATCATCGATCAAGCAGTGAAAAAGAAACTGTGGGACTCTAACGCAATTACCCCAGGCACACCGTTTATGGACCGCTTAGCGCAGGCATTACGCTACTGGGTGGCCTACAAGCTTAGTAGCGACCCCGGTTGGAAAGATTTGCAGGTGATTATCCTGGACGCCACTGTCCCCGGTGAAGGTGAACATAAGCTTATGTCTTTTATCCGTTCCCAGCGGTCTGACCCGCTGTATGACCCCAACACCAAACACTGCATTTATGGGTTAGATGCCGACTTGATTTTCTTGGGTTTAGCCACCCATGAGCCTCATTTCCGTGTAATTCGTGAAGACGTGTTTGCTGATCGTGGTCGTCAATTGGGCACTAAAGATCAGCTTTCCATGAGTGATGCCGATAAGCAGGCCCTCCAGGAGAAGGATAAGAAGAAGCCGTTTGTGTGGCTTCACGTCAACGTGCTCCGGGAGTACTTGGAAGTGGAGCTCTATAACCCGCAACTACCGTTCCCCTTTGACTTGGAGCGGGCCATCGACGATTGGGTGTTTATGTGTTTCTTTGTTGGTAATGATTTCTTACCTCACTTGCCGCTGTTGGACGTTAGAGACAACGGGATCGATATCCTCGTCAACCAATGGAAACGCGTACTTCCACGGCTTAAAGGGTACATCACCTGTGATGGTACCCTTAACTTAGCCGCAGTGGAAACACTTATGCAGCTGGTAACCTATAAAGAAGACGAGATTTTCCGCCGTCGTTTCGAACAAGAACAACGCCGTGAAGAAGGGTTTAAACGCCGTAAAGCTCGTGAAGAAGAAGAGAAAGCATTGAGAAAACAGTACATGAGCACTGTCTCCAAGGGTAAGGAGAAGGCGCCGTTGGAGGCTCAGACAAACATGCCATTGATGTCGACTCTGGGGGAACTTGTCGATGGCTTTGCCCAATTACTGAATAAGGATATTGTTCACAACCAAGGGACTATCACCAAAGCGAATATGGGTAACGCTGAGGCTGCTGCCGCCTTGAAACTGTTACTTGATCGCAAAGCTGCCGGCGAAACTGAAGATGCTACCCCGGCAGAAACCCCCACTGAAGCGGGCGACACTGAGACTGAAGCTACTGAAACCGCCACCGAATCGGAAGCTGGCGAAGCTAGGGGTACCAAGCGTCAGCTTGAACAAGATCTGGACGACGATGACCCTAATGCTGATAAAGTGAGACTTTACGAAGCCGGCTACCGTAAACGGTATTACGAGGAGAAGTTCGGGTGCACCACCGATGAAGAGATCGAGGAAACGCGTAAGCTGGTGGTGAGACTGTATCTTGAAGGTATCTCGTGGGTGCTTTTATACTACTACCAAGGGTGTCCGCTGTGGAACTGGTACTACCCCTACCACTACGCGCCATTTGCTGCTGACTTCCATGATATTGCCGACATCGTGGGACCCGAGGGTATCGTATTCATCCAGGGCGAACCTTTCAGACCGTTTGAACAACTTATGTCGGTGCTTCCCGCAGCCTCCGGGCACAACCTTCCCGAAGTGTTTCGGGGACTTATGCTGGAGCCCGAGCTGGAGATCATTGATTTCTACCCCGAAGAATTCCAAATTGATATGAACGGAGCCAAAATGTCGTGGCAAGGGATCGCGTTGCTTCCCTTCATTGACGAAGTCAGACTTCTCAAGGCGGTGCAAAGTGTATACCCTCAGCTCACCGATGATGAGACTAACCGCAATACCAATAAGGAAGCGGTGCTTTTTGTGTCTCCGCACAATAAGAACTACAAAAAGTTCGTCGAAAGCTTATACAACAACGACGAGAAGCAGGTATCCTTCCCTTACTACCGGTCTCACTTGGCAGGGACAGTGTGGAAGAACCACCACACTTTGAGTGGCACATTAGCGTTCCCCTTAGCGGAAGGGAACATGCCTGATATCAGCCATACCGAATTCTTCCAGGCGTTCTATCTGTTCCCTCCGAAGAAGAAGGGGAAGCTGATGTTGCTTAACGGGTACATCACCCACAACAAAGCTCTCACTCAAGAAGACAAGGATGCGCTTATCTATAACGAGAGAGGCGGTCCCGGAAGATACCTGAGGTTCAGTGCCCCTAAGGAAAGCGACTACGTCAACACTGGCCCCATGGGCGATAAGTTTTACATGACTTATAGCATGTACCGCGGCGGTTACCGGGCGATGTTGAACCAATTGGAGAATAAGCCACAAGGCGGAGACCAAGGACACCAGAGACAATCAGCGACTTATCGTGGTTCAGGACCCGGTAGAGGCCGTGGAGGGTACAGAGGGCGTGGTGGCGGCGGCGGCGGTTACCGCGGTGGTCGTGGCGGTTACCAAGAAGGTGGATACCAAGGCGGTGGATACCAAGGTGGTGGATACCAAGGAGGTGGGTACCAGGGTGGTAACCGTGGAGGCTACCAAGGAGGTAATCGCGGTGGGTACCAAGGCGGTAACCGAGGTGGCTATCAAAGCGGTTATAACAACAACTACAACAACAACAACCAAGGCTACAACCAAGGGGGCCACCAAGGGTACAGCCTGGGATACTCCAACAACAACAACAACAACCAGTCCTCGTCCCACAGCTCGTCGCGAGGCTATAACGACATTAACGACCGCTACCAACGTTGACCGTTATTAATAGATCTAGGTAAAATTCAAATAGACCTAATTCGTTTGTAAAAGAAAATAGTCTAACTTGAGCTTTTTCAGGTTAAATGTCATAAAAATAGCTCCCGTATCTATGCCAAAAAAGGAGATGAGGCAGACAGGATTTGAACCTGCAACCCTTCGATTACCGTCTGGTCCTACTCGAGAACCGGTAAACTGGAGTCGAAAGCTCTACCGTTGAGCCACTGCCCCTCCCTTGGCGGCGGAAGTACGGGAATTACTCGATACGGCAAGTAGTCAAAGGGATAACGAATCCGTTGATTTACCCCTGCATTACTCCCACTTAGTGAACTATACGACCGTATTTGAGAAACGGCACGGCGGGTACCCCTTGAAAATTCAAGATTGTCCCAAATTTGGTTGTTCTATATACAGTGAGACATCAGACCGAATCCGGAAACAATTAAGGTTGAAGCATCGCGAGAAGGTTAGAGGAAAGTGGTAAAGTGCATTAGTTCCCATCATCAACACACCCCGTCCATAATTGGATCATTGGCATCTCCTGAGGAATCTCCCGATTGCGTAGTCTCGGGCAGCCTGGGCCAGCCGTAAATGACAATATCAAACACATCTTTGGCCATATTAGAGATCGTCTCTTCATTACATTATTACCATCTAGTTTAGTATATCTCTTTGTTGATTGTTTAAAGATTTCGTGGCTCTTGTGATTAAGCACACGGTGTATATGATATTGTTTAAACCCTGTGGCAGAACTTATATCAAAGTCTGTTGCGGGCTATCGTTCACTTAGAGGACTTGGATGTCGGAGTCGGTAGTATACTTGACGGGAGCCACCTGGATGGTGTTGTCTTCCAAGTCAAACACGGTGTAGGCGTTACGCAAGAACGACGCCCCCAACACCATATCGGGGAAGTTGGCCAGGGCGTTTTGCACCTTAGCCCCGAACACACAGAGGTCGTTGTATAACCACATGAACCGGTCCAAGCCGAATTCCACTGTGGTCTGCTTAGCAGTGCCCTGGCCAAACTTGAAGGCAATCTTCTTGCTGGTGTCCTGGTTGCAGTCAACAATGTAGTTAGTACCTGAGCGTTGCACCCCGGTGTAGTGAGCCAACATCGTCTTGACAAAGTTTTCCGGCAACACCGTCAAGGTGAAGCCACAGTCCCACGCCACCTGTTGGTTCAACGGCATCTCTTGACCGGCGATCAGCACCGAGTCAAGTTGACCCCAAAGACGAGCGCCTTCGGACTTAAGGGTGACTAAGTCGCCTTGGTATTTGGCGTGGTCAACCCCACCAAACAAGATGGAGCCAGTGGCGGCCTTGGCGGTGTTCAAGTACAACGAGTAGGCGGCCTTAGAGATCTTGTTTTGCGCTTTCAAGGCCCAGGGCAAGTTGTCGTACTTGTTTTGGGTCTGTTCCAAGTCCTTCTTACCCACACCAATTAACGCGTCATCATAGTGGTTCAGCTCCTTAATCAGAGCGAATTGGAAGTTGGTCAAGTCGACGTTACCAATGGAGAAGTCGTCGTAAGCCCACACACCCAGCGATGAGCCCAGAGTACCTTGGTATTGGACCCCGTAGGGTGTAGAGGTGACTCTGCCACTCAGCGATTGAGCAGGGTCAAACACCGCTTGTTTCACCCACATATCGGAGGAACCAGTGTCGATAAGTGCCTTGAACAGCAGCTTTTGCAGACCGCCTTTAACCACCATATAGTAGACACCCTTCAAGTTCATATCGAGTCCGGCGACGGCAGTGTTATCCGGCGACGTGGTCGGCTGAGGGTTGGGAGCCTTAGACGTCGTCGGTTGAGGCTGAGGCTGTTTTGACGTAGTAGGTTGAGGTTGAGGCGCTCTAGAAGTGGTAGGCTGGGGTTGAGGTGGAGGCTGTTGTTGCTGTTGAGGGGGGTTCCAAGGGTCAGGAAGACCAGTCCAGCCAAACACGATTTTCCATACGGTGTTAGCCACGCCGTTTTTACCGAAGATGATGCCTCTCTTTTGGTTTTGCGCTTCATTGGGCTGGTTTTGTTGTTGGTGCTGAGGGTTGACAATCGCGTCGATGGCATCGGCGCCAGCGTTGATGGCATCGACACCCGTGTTGATCACCGTGTCCAGCACATTCTTCACGAGCTCGAGCAGGGTTGCCACCAGCTCAATTAACGGCAGCACCTCGACGTCGAACGAGATGACCAAGGGGGCGGGCTTGGAGCCATTAAGGGCGCGGGGGATCACCTGGGCGACGATGAAGGTGGCGAGGAACAAGTACAACACAAACTTCATCAGACGGTAGCGAGGGGGATGTCGGGGCGGCGCCATCATATTTATTCGTCGGTTCGTCAACATTGGAGTTGGGGGGCCCAGGGCGCTTGGCCACGCCTAAACTTTAGTGGTCGCATGCGCGGTCGTCTAGGCGCGTTTTCCCCGAGCGAACGTCGACCCCGAAAGCGTGCGAAGAGCTCACGGGTTAAATGACAAAAGCCACGAGTATTTTGGCTATTAACAGAGCTCAGGATGGTCTGAAACCACCATATTAGCCGGTTTGACACGTCAAATTCCCTAGAGCTACCCATTCTGGAATTCTGGCGTACCTGCGCATTTAGTAGACGGTGCGTTTTGTGGCCAGCTCGCCTCGACCTAAACGTTGACCGCGTCGCTGGATTGGGGAGCAAGGTCGACTCTCCAAGGCGGATGCCAGCCGCAGCCCGCGTTCGTGACTAAACCTAGTTTTCGAGGCTAGGCGGACGCCAGACATAGCTGCTTTAGACTCGTTTCCATCTTCTTTTAGCCGCAGCCACTACCTGGCAACCGTCGTAATTAGCCATCGTACCCCACATATAGGTCCCTCCACCACCTCACCACCACCCCGTACGGTGACGTTACCGGTTAAGGGGCTTCCCCATCGGTCGTGGTTAAGCCCGCAAATGGCGGTTGGCGATCGACCCTCGCCTGAATTTAGCCGAGCTTGAAAGCCTTCCGCTGAAAAGAGACACAAGGCACAGCCCCCGCCCCATGGGGCGATTCTAAATAACATAAACAGGCTGATTTAGGGTTGGAGTAAGTGGAAAAGGATTGGCACTGAGGTCCATGTCCCGAAACACCGATGTCTCAGCCTCATCGCTGCCGTATGTTACTGGTTACATTTTCACTTACATGTCATCGGTCCCTGCTGAGGGACCCCTAACATTCGCTTACAGGTCGCGTAATCTGGTAAATGAATTAAGCGATGATAGAGGTCTAAACCTACGTCAGCCAACGTGGGGGTTTAGAGGCGGCTCTCCTTTTTTTCAACGGAACCGTTGTTTTTTTCTCTCATAGTGCCATATTATTGTTCACCACACAAACAACACGAAAACGCGAAAAAGCGCGATTGTGTCTAAACACGTTTGTGTCTGCTTTTCTCCTCGTGTAAGTAAGATAATACTGTGGAGGTATCTGGGAAAACGTGACTAGTTATTCTTAGACTATCAGGGAAGATAAAAAACATCAACAGATAGCTTACATCATCAGAGATTTCGAATCCTGGTTCGATGTGGTCGAGATTGTGTTCAGTTAGATCTGCATTGCGATCCGAGACGAAGTCCGTAGCGGTGGCACCTGAAACACTAAGATGGGCATCTATCTTTGCCGGTACCACGGAAAGAAATAAAGGGCAATATCACGCCCTATGTTTTCTTTGTACCACTGCAAAGCTCGCACTCGGTAGTTGTAGTAATCTCTTCACTTACCATGATTATTGCAATCATAAAGGATGGTCTTACTGAAACATACTATATGACTGCAATCCGAAATCACAGAGTGAATCTTAGTTGTGTTGTCTCTTGTAGGACTTGGATAATTGCAAAATCTGGTGTTACTTTCAGTTACTGTGATTGGCTAGGATCATTGGGGTACCAATAGATATGAATGTCGGGTGTTTCTACTATGAAAAGAAGTTCCTTTTTTTCACAAATGTCAACTTTAATCGAGATTTAGGTACGAAAAGTGGCTGGGGTGCCATTATAAGTGGGGAGGTTGCAGCGAGATGTCGTGGACGTCCGATTAGTCAGCACACTTTATCGGGTTGCGAAGGGAACTTACGACCAGCTGCCGACACTACCGTGCCAAGACCGACTACGAGTATCCTAGGTAAAGACGAGAGGTTTTATTGGAATACGATGGTAGCGCCAGTTTATAATATATCCGTTCACCGTAATTTATCCGTCCAGGGACCATTCAACTAACGCGGGACGACGCAAACTGTATTTACGTGTCTGCGCACGGAGATATCTGGATTTCGCGTCATGAGCCCCCACCCCACCTCACAATATTCCTATACGACAACAACGACATGGTGAAATAGTACTCGAACCAAATAGATATGGTCTGCTCTTTGTTTGCTCATATTAAGAGACATTGCTATTAATGAACTCACAATTTAAAATTCCGGAACTCCTGTTTACAGGCAACTATTCGCTGGATCACCCGATCGTATGGGGCGCGCTATACGACGTACACCCTCTCGTCGTATAGGACCAGTTACCCCCGCGAAACACGAGCCTAGACGGATTGTTCCCCGTATCAACACCACCGGCATGTCGGCTTAGTTTTCGTTTTCTTTACACTCCACCTAATTACGTGTAGTATTGTGACAGGCGATCCCCTGGCTCGCTAGCTGTCGCCTCGTGGGGTTGTTGACATCGCGGCTCGGGGGTTGGCGTTCTGGGCCGAGCCCGCGCAACTGTTCCTCATGAAAGACTACGCGGACCCAAAGGCCCCGAAACCACAGCAAAGAAACGAAAATCCTCTATAGATGGTAAGTAATTAGTAACTGAAACATACCAACGATTCCTACCACGCTACATTTTAGCTGGTTGACATTAAACTAACCCTTATTCGCCGTCGTCCTCGCAATTGTCGTGCCGATGGTTACCAGAATTACCTGCAGGACTGCACCCATAGAAAATCTTTTTAGGTATATCTATTTTGCACCTCCCCTCGCTGGAAAACAGACAATGAACTCGACGGCGGCGATTTCTCTGGCGAGCGTCTCCGCCTCTTTCAAGGACACGGTGGTGCTGCAGTGGCAGCAGACCGCCTGGTGGCAGATCGTGCTTGCCCTCATCGTCATCGGGTTGACCTACGACCAGGTGATGTACCAGATCCGCAAGGGCCTGATCGCCGGGCCCAGCATCAAGTTCTGGCCGATTATCGGTCCCTTCTTGGAGTCGCTCGACCCTAAGTTCGAAGAGTACTTGGCCAAGTGGAACTCGGGCAAGCTCTCGTGCGTGCTGATCTTCCACAAGTTCGTGATTATCGCTTCTGACAGAGACTTGCTGCGTAAGATTTTGGGCGCCCACAAGTACGTCAAGCCCTGTGTCGTCGACGTCGCCACCAAGATCTTGCGTCCCGAGAACTGGGTGTTCTTGGATGGCAAGGCCCACTCCGATTACCGTAAGGGGTTGAACGGGTTGTTCCGCCAACAAGCGCTCGAAATTTACATCCCCACCATCGAAGACATCGTCGACAAGTACCTTGTTGAATTCCAAGCCAAGAAGGAACCGGAGAAGTTCTTCCCCCACTTCCGTGAGTTCCTCTGCGCCATCTCGTTGCGTACCTTCTGCGGTGACTACATTGACGACTCGCAAGTGGCCATGGTCGCTGACAACTACTACCGGGTTACTGCCGCGTTGGAGTTGGTCAACTTCCCCATCATTTTGCCCTACACCAAGACCTGGTACGGGAAGAAGATCGCCGACGACACCATGAAGATCTTTGAAGCCTGTGCCGCCAAGTCAAAGAAGTACATTGAAGCCGGTGGTGAACCTAAGTGTGTCATGGACGAATGGGTGTATCTTATGAAGCGAGCCCGTGAAGGTAAGGCCGAAAACGCCGACGACGCCGTGTTGGTGAGAGAGTTCTCCAACAAGGAAATCTCGGAAGCCATCTTCACCTTCTTGTTTGCCTCGCAAGACGCGTCGTCGTCGTTGGCGTGCTGGGTGTTCCAAATTGTTGCTGACAGACCTGACGTGCAACAGAAGATCAGAGAAGAACAATTGCGCGTGAGAGACGGCGACGCCACCAAGCGTTTGACGTTGGACATGATCAACTCGATGGACTACACCAACAAGGTGATTAGAGAAACCCTTAGATACCGTCCCCCCGTGATCATGGTCCCCTACGTGTGCAAGCAAGACTTCCCCATCACCCTGGAATACACCGCGCCTAAGGGGTCGATGCTTATCCCCTCGCTCTACCCGGCGTTGCACGACCCTGAAGTATACCCTCAACCCGATGAATTTATCCCCGAGAGATGGGACAACCCCACCCTGGAGATGACGGTGAGAAACTGGTTGCCCTTCGGCACCGGCCCCCACGTGTGCTTGGGCAAGAACTACGTGCTCATGTTGTTCACGGCCATGGTGGGTAAGATGGTGTTGTTCTCCGACATCAACCACCACAAGACGCCGTTGTCGGAAGACATCAAGGTGTTCGCCACCATTTTCCCCAAAGACGACTTAATCTTGGACTGGGTTCCTAGACAACCGACGGCGTAAGCAATAGACGTACGTACATTTTTTAATAGTAACATGTTTGATCACAAATACTGGTTGGCAGTGTAGATGTATATAATAAGAAAATATCATTATACTAACGGGGTGATTGTCAATTCCCAGATAGGTCGAGGGCACCACCCGCTCCCATTGTCACGGCTTAATGTGGTAATCGGACAATAACCACCAAACTACCATATAAACCAATATACTTCTTACTACTTCCATCATCCACTAATCAACCATGGCTGCTCAACAATCCAACACTCAAACCCCTAAGGACAACTACTCTCTTGAAAAGGACTTCCGCTTCTTCGACTTGTGCGTGATTGTCTAAATCGATTATATACTCAATGAACAATTCTATTCCATTTACTCCTGCAGAAACTTATCATCTTTCAATGGACGATATGTTCAATTGATTTTATTAGATGGATTCTGGGTATTTCATTCATTGAGCTCGGCTATGACACCCTCACTGTTTGATGTTCATGAGAGTTCCCATGCATCACGAAATATTTCAAATCTTGGGGGTATACATTGATTCTCAAGCTAACTATCGGTTTATACTCATTACATCCCCATATGTTGGCTTTCATCAAAATTGGGGACAAGATGAGGACCGAAAAGCAACGGCACGTCTACATCTTCCAACCCCAATTGCTTCATTGTGGCGTCACACCAATACTCAAAGTGTTCGAGCCGCGAAAGGTTTTCAAAGTGCAATGCGGCAGTATCACTCCATTTGGCAAAGCTCACCTTAAACTGTTTCACCAATGCAGGCATCGAAATGCCCATGTAAAACACAGATCTGAAGTCAGCTTTCTTGATGGCGATAGATTGAAGACGGTCACACGCGTCAAACGTCACTGGAGACGGCTTGCCTTCCGCGGTAAGCGTGGTATCATCGACCCACCGGTCATCCAATCGCTCGATGTAAATCCTCTCCACCATCGGCGGGAACCGCAGGCTCAATCAATGAGCCCGACTCAAGCGTCACCACGTCTGCCGATATATCCACTTTGCGCAACGTCGACCAGTTGATATGGATGAAGCTCATATGAAGATTGATGATACAGTCTTGAATCATACCTCCGTGGCTTTCCCAGGCTGTAATGGCAACGCGACGAAGTTGGGGATATTGTTTCAACGGGAAATCCATGCCGCAGCCGTATAACTCGACCAAGCTGGGAGCATGGAGTCGCACACAACGTTCCGTACCACAGAGTTTCAACGACGTAAGCTTTGCACAAACGATCGACACCTCAGTCGCAAGGCGTATTACCAACGTTCTAAGTTCAGGACATTTGATCGTCGCAACTCTCGATACATGCATCAGCATGAGCTTAGGGCATTCAACAGCAGCGTGGAAGGCGCCACAGATGTGTAAGTCGGTGAGGTTAGGCGAGCGGACAGCCAAATTTCCAATTCCTCTACCGCGGGCGGCAATGAAAAGAACTTGTGCATCGGTTCCCCCACCGTCATGTGTAAAACCTTCAAATTTTGAAGCGGACTGGTGTTGGTGATTGAAAAATTACGTCCCTTGAGCGAGTGCAATTGAGCCTGTTGGGCAAGGGTGAGGTGGTCTGACACATTGTAGAAGGAGAGGCCCCGGGGAGGAGGAGTAACTTCAACCCTTCGAAGGTGAGGGAGGTTGCGTCTTGTCAATTCTTGGTATTCATAGATGGTGAGATCCTGTAAACGTTTCAACGCAAGACGTGGGTGAAGGTATTGGACATTGATCGTCTCAAGCTGATGGTAGGGAATCTTGCCAGTAAAATTACCAGGCCAAACCACGTGGCGGAGATTTTTCAACGAAAGAAGATGCATGTCGACGAAATCACAGTTGATGGCGTGAAATGTCGTGTGACGGAGCGAAGCCACTGTCTTTCATGACAAGCGTGGTGACGGTGTCAGGGATCTGCTTAGGGTCGACTTTGAGACCACCTTCTACGGTCAATGACATCCAATTGACACTTTGACCAAGACGACCAAGAGTCGCTTCGGGAACCATTCCCATTTCGGTTATCGACAATGGACGGAGGACAATGTACTCGTTGAACACCGTGAGCGAGACCAGCTCGCAGTTGGCGGCGTTAACATCAGCAATGGCTTTCTTGAGTAAACCCACAGGAATGTTCACACTGATATGGCATCGGGGAAGCTTAGCGCAGGTGTCGAAATCGATGTAGCGATGGTCGCCGCCCCTCCACTTTTTCGGGAGACACCGGAATCACCCGTCCGTTGAAATATCTTGCGGTGTGGTGTCGCGTAGCAGCATAGGTCTTATCCTCTCTCCATCGTGGCGTAGAACCAGCACACCGACACTAGGTCAATCTCATTGAATATAAGCTTCTGGACCTCGGTGGGGAGATCCTTGAACGCCGTCATTGCGGTAAGTGGCCCAGGAATCGATTTGGTGGCGACGTGCAGTAATTGTATATGTTGCACATTGATGTTTCATAGTAGTATAAGAATGACGGTGATCGCGACTTTGACGAGGCAACTCGAACGCACCCCGAGACGAGAAAATGAAACTAGGCAACGGAAATGGGTTGGAAATTGATTATCAATTGAGCTTGGCTTTGAATCAATCCATTGCCAATAGCAACTAAGGATATTGTGTAATTAGTGTCTATGTAGGTTAGGATGGAACCATTCATATCGTCAAGACGATTGATCGATTGCCCTATCGCGTCGTCTAATCTCAAGAAGATGAGGAAACTCTATGCCGATAACGATGAGTTAATTCTATCATCTCTCATCATCTTCCATTCAGTCGTAAGGGTCCTTGAGGTTTTGTGGTACCCATGGAGTAGCCTTAAACTCCACTGGCTCGATCTCTTCATCGACAAACCCAAACGCCTTAGGGTCGTCGGGAAAGCTTACTCCTTTGAGCACTTTGATATCGGCAAACTTATGGAATTTGGTGAAGTTGTGGCGCATCGCTTTGCGAATATGGTCGCGGTTGTCCTTAGTGGTAAACTCAATAAAAGGAGACTTGATGTTCAGGTGGGTAAGCTCATAAGTGCCTGCCAAATGAGACCCATGCTTCGCTAGATTGTGAGCGAATGGCACCTCCACCGTACCATCAAAATAGCGGTCATCGTCCTCGATGTAAGGGTAGCGAGGGATGGCCACAAGCAGCTTTATCTGGTCCAAAATCTTTAGCTGGTTGGCGGCATCGTCACTATTTTCATTTTCCACCACGGTGGGCTCGTGTTCAAGTAGATTGCCGATGACTCGAGACTTATAGGATGGGGCGTAGACCACCTCTAGCGCCTCGCCATGGGGCACTAACAGGGTGGGCTTAAAGCGGAAAAGCTCGAGCGGCGCGAGCTGTTTGAAGTTATCGTAGATCCACTGGGCCTCGACTGACAGCAGCGGCGGCGGACTGAAGGTTATTCGCGCCAGCAAATGGTGGGGCAAGTTGCGGGGGATCCTCATCGGGTGCGAGTGGGCATGCCGTTGGTGGTGACCAAGTGAGACACAAACAAAACTACGTCCAAATCTATCAAACAAAGAACTTCTGATCTAGAAATAGATGACGTAGTATACAAGTCTTAGCCAGTACCGATTTGTTGAAACTTAGGATCTAATAAGGAGACTCTCTTTGATCTACTAATGGTCTTTTCTAGTGAATGTCCTATTGCTAGATCAAAAGCAATACTCTTGCTAGGCGTTCCGGGTTCAACCACGGCCAAACGGGAGTGCACGAGGGCAATTTCACAAGAAATTTTTGGTGATTGCTTGTTTTTGCTAGTGGCGTGTCCGAAACCGGAGCCCGGAAGCGGCATGCGCTGCAAACCACCAATTTACGCCAGATAGCGTGGCCTTTAGGGGTGCACATTTAAGCTGATTACGTAGTTTGATCAGTATCAGCTATAGTTACATAAGAGTAGCATATAGCTGTTTTTGCCAGGGTGTCTCACGAGAGGCTTCCCCTCCTTTGTCGCGATGAGGTGAGTCACGTCCCGAGTCAGCGTCGCTTATCGCGGGGCCGAGTCACGCTGATAAACATTACTTTTTCTAAGGAGGCCCTCCGTGCTACCACACAAGTTTACCCGCCCATCTCCCGCAACCCGTTTGCGTTCACTTCGAAACAACCCCCCCATGCTTCGTTTCACTCGATCCCCGGCAGCCGCCATCAGTCTCCGGCGCCTCACCACGCTGGCCCCCCGCTGGCAGGCGGTGGTGATGCTGGGCACCCGGCTTGCCAAACAGATCCGCGGCCAGATCCACGACCATGTCGTCGACTATAACGTTGCTCACCACCCTGAGTTGGCCGGCAAGCCTTTGCTGTTTGACGACCTCAAATTCAAGCCGCTGTTGGTGATTATCCAAGTTGGCGACCGTCCCGATTCGCTGGCGTACGTGAGACTGAAGCTCAAGGCCGCTCAAGGGTCTAACATCGACGCTCGTTTGGTGAAATTTGACACTCTGATTACTGAGGAGAAGTTGTTGGACGAGATTGCCGCCATCAACGATGACCCCAGCGTCAACGGGCTTTTGATCCAATTGCCGTTACCTAAACACATCAATGAGACCTTGATTACCAACGCTGTGGCCACCGAAAAGGACGTCGATGGTTTTGACCGTTATAACGTCGGTGAACTCTCCAAGAGAGGTGGTTCTCCCTTGTTCAAGCCCTGTACTCCTAACGGGGTGATGGAGCTTATTAAGCAAACTGGTGTCGAATTAAAGGGTAAGCACGCCGTAGTCATCGGCAGAAGTGACATCGTCGGTACCCCTGTCGCCGCCATGTTGCGTAACGCTGACTGTACCGTTACTGTGTGCCACTCCCGTACTAAGAACATCCCCGAAATGGTCCGTCAGGCCGACATTGTTGTGGCCGCTGTGGGTATCCCTGAATACGTTAAGGGCGACTGGATCAAGCCTGGTGCGGTTGTCATCGATGTCGGTATCAACTACAAGGATGACCCCACCCACAAGAACGGCCGTCGTCTCGTCGGTGACGTTGACTACGCCGAAGTGGCCGAGAAGGCGCTGTTCATCACCCCTGTCCCCGGTGGTGTGGGTCCGATGACCGTCGCCATGCTCTGCTCTAATGTGTTTGACGCTGCTCGTTATCAACAACAGAACAAGACCAAATTTGTTCCTCTTCCCGTGAAGTTGGAAAACCCCGTGCCGCTGGATATTGCCATTTCCAGAGCTCAACAACCGAAAAAGATCACCAAAGTCGCTAAGGAATTGGGGCTTTTGGAAGCGGAACTCGAACCTTTTGGCCACTACAAGGCTAAAGTCGACACCAAAAAGGTTGTGGACCGTTTGAGAAAGACTCACGGTGACGCCGTCGGTAACTACGTGCTTGTTGCCGGTATCACTCCCACCCCTCTTGGTGAAGGCAAGCTGACTACTACCATGGGTCTTACCCAAGCTTTAGGGGCTCACTTGGGCTACCACTCAATTGCTAACGTCCGTCAGCCGCTGATGGGTCCCACTTTTGGCGTTAAAGGTGGCGCTGCTGGAGGTGGCTACTCGCAAGTGATTCCTATGGACGAATTCAACATGCACTTGACTGGTGACATCCACGCCATCTCTGCGGCTCAAAACTTGTTGTGTGCTGCTGTCGACACCCGTATGTTCCACGAATACACTCTGAAGCTGATTGGCGGCTTCTACAAGCGGTTGGTCCCCGCCAAGAAGGGGGTGCGCAAGTTCACTCCCTCGATGCTCAAGCGTCTTGAGAAGTTGGGCATCAACAAGACTAACCCTGACGACTTGACCCCCGAGGAAATTGAACGGTTTGCTAAGCTTGACATCGACCCCGAGCTGATTACCATTAAGAGAGTCGTCGACTGTAACGACCGGTTTGTGCGGGAAATGACCATCGGTGAAGGTAAGAACGAAGCCCTGAAGTTCCCGCCGAGAAAGCTGGGGATGGATATCACCGTGGCCCTGGAGATCATGGCCATCCTCGCTCTTTCCACTTCACTCCAAGACTTGCGTGACCGTGTTGGTCGCATCGTCGTCGGTACTCAACGTAACACTGGCGAAGCGATTACTGCTGAAGATATCGGTGTGGCTGGTGCCATCACCGCTCTCCTCAAGGACGCCATCAAGCCTAACTTGATGCAATCGCTTGAAGGTACCCCCGTGTTTGTCCACGCCGGTCCCTTTGCCAACATCTCCATCGGTGCTTCGTCGGTGGTGGCTGACCAATTGGCGTTGGCTTTGACCGGTCCCCAGAAGGGTTACGTTGTCACTGAGGCTGGTTTCGACTTCACCATGGGTGGGGAACGTTTCTTCAACATTAAGTGCCGTACCTCGGGTTTCAAGCCCAACGCGGTGGTGCTTGTGGCCACTCTGAGAGCGCTTAAGCTCCACGGCGGTGCTCCCGACGTCAAGCCTGGCCAAGCATTGCCTCAAGAGTACACTACCGAAAACCTCGACTTCTTGAGCGCTGGTTGTGCCAACTTGGCTAAGCAAATCGCTAACATCAAGCAGTACAACGTCCCCGTGGTTGTGGCCATCAACACTTTCGAAACCGACACTCCTGCCGAACTTGAATTGATCAAGCAAAAGGCGCTTGCTGCCGGTGCTGACTTTGCCGTGCCCCTGAACCACTGGGCTGAAGGTGGTAAGGGTGCCGTCAACCTCGCCAAGGCGGTGGTGGAAGCCTGTGAACAAGGCGATCGCACCCCTACTTACTTGTACGACACTGAGCTGCTGGTGGAAGACAAGATCCGCACCATTGCCCAGAAGATGTACGGCGCTGCCGACATTGAGTTGTCGCCGTTGGCTAAGCAGCAGATCGAAACCTACACCCGCCAGGGCTACGACAAGTTGCCCATTTGCATTGCTAAGACGCAGTACTCGTTGTCGCACGACCCTGCGCTCAAGGGTGTTCCTCAAGGGTTCGTGGTGCCGATCAGAGAGGTGAGATGTCTGGCGGGGGCGGGCTACCTTTACGCGTTGGCGGCGGAGATCATGACCATCCCCGGGTTGCCGACGCACGCCGGGTTCATGAACGTCGAGGTCAACGACGACGGAGAAATCGAAGGACTTTTTTAATAGACTTATAGAGTATACATGTGATATTTGATTGGATTGTCGTGGCCTTTTGGTTGTATGTCTCATTGTTCCTTTATTGGCTATCTCTGAATAAATCTCTCATTATACCATTGAAGTCGGTTAAATTGCAATTGGTGTGATTAGGCGAAGGCCACGGGACACCCGTTAAGTAAACAGATGGTCAAGTTACTGCGCACTAACGGCGGGTACTCATGGGCTCCAGGTCCACCAAGAGTCTCAAACGTTTGCAAAAGCCGAACCAATACGTACGAGGCTTCGGTCAAGGCAAATTGCTGGCCTAAGCAGATTCTCGGGCCACCATTAAACGGTAAGTATGCCCATCCCATCTTCTTCATTTGCGGGTCGAACCACCGTTCCGGCTTGAATTCGTCAGCATCCTTACCGTAGATGTCCGGGTCCATGTGCATGGCATGCACTGAGTACATCAACGTCGTCCCCTTAGGAACAAACATGGGGTCGTTACCATCAGCACCACCACCACGAGGTAACGTCGTGTCTTGTACTGCCACTTTAAAGCTCTTGGGCACCAGAGGGTACATTCTCAATGTTTCACTGATTACTGCTTGAAGGTACTCACACTTCTTCATCAGCTCAAACGTGATATCTTCTAACGAGTCACCAAACCGGTGGTGGACTTCGTCGCGAAGCTTTTGCCAGAGGTCAGGGTGACGAGCAAGTTCCATAAACACAAACGAAAGTAGCCCCGCCGTGGTGTCTCTGCCTGCCAATAAGATGTTAAGCGCTTGGTCACGAAGTACTTTGGGATCGCGACAATTCTTTGCCAACTCGTAGAGGAAGACGTAGCCATGACGACTAGCAAGGTCAAGATCAGCCGGTGACATGGCCAATGCCTTATTGACGTAGTAGTCACTGAACCGGTGGACTTCATCGTTAAGTTGGCGGAATTCGCGGCCATCCTTAAGGAAGTAAGCGCCTTGAAGAGCCACCCGTTGACTAAGGTAGTCCTGCGAAAGGTCGAAGGCGTAGCTGAAGTTCTCTCTTTCAGGGAAGGCAGCCACTTCCTCGGGCGAACGAGCCTGGCCAATGACACCATCACTCAACAGCTCAACACTTTCACCAAAAAGAAATTCCGTCGCCAGATCAACCGTCAACCGGAAAAACAATTCCTGTAAGTCAAATACTTCTCCCTGGCGGGCATAGATCTGGCGTACAAGTCGTTGTACGTGAGGCTCAAGCATTTGTACGTGGGCCACTTGTTCTCGAGCAAATTGAGGTCTAAGCATCGTCCGTGAATGTTTCCAGCCTTCACCATCAAGCGTGAAGATACCGTCACCCAAAAGCGGAGACAACATTTGTTTTCTTTGGCCAAACTGGTAGTGGCTAAAGTTAGTCGCTAGCACTGCTTTAATGTTCTCGGGGTCTCTAGTAGCCACGGCGAAGTTACCGCCAAGGAAGATTGTGAATGTCTTTTGGTGAGGCCAGCGGTCATCGCCATAGAGATACCGACGGTTAAACAGAAGGATTCGTCCTTCCTTCTTTGCCTTGAGAATAGGGACCAAATTAGCAAACCCCCACACGCCATCGGACTTGTGGAACTTAAATGGCAGACATCCCGCCTGGCGTTCTTTGCGAGCAAACACAAGGCGCCCAATAACGATTTTGGCGGCGATCAACGCCACCACGAATAACAAGCCCCAAAGCAACATCCAGTGATGAAGAGAAAATCGTATTAGTGCCGGTATTTATCGACAATGGCTGATTCCCCCCTCACTCTCGGTGTCGGCATGCCCTGCACTTAGACACAATCCCTTTTCGCTCCCCGCACCTTATGGCCAAAATATGGGGTAATCGGCACGATGACAGCATCAAGAAGCACCAGACACCACCGCTAATTTTTCCCCATTTAGTAGTGCCAGCTTTAGCTTTATGCCAGTATAAACCCTATTACTACGGAGACACAATTTTTAATAAGGTTTGTGTCCGGAGTTATCGCCAGGGCCAGTGCCCTTACAACCGAACAATAGATTAGGAATAGATTGTCTATTAGTAAAGATAATAATACAGATAACACGGGGCTTACTTCAGGTTCAACCACCCACAGAAAGCATTGCACAACGCCCGAGCAATCTTCGCCACCATGTCGTCGTTGTTGTTGTTGTGCTGGGGCTGTTGTTGGTAGTGGCCTTGTTGTTGCGATTGTTGATGGTATTGCGGCTGTTGTGCCGGTTGGTACAGTTGAGGAGGCTTGGACACGTGCAGGTTCGGGTTGAGTTCAATCACCAACACCCCCAGGTTCTTGGGGTCGATGTAGTGCTTGAGCCCCAGCTCATCGCACAACTGGTCCACCGCGGGCTTGATCTTGGCGATGCCGTTTTTCGAGTGCAACCCCTTGCCGACGATCACCCGCAAGTGGTTTTCGCCGTGGTTGACCGCCTGAGTGATCCGCCGCTGCAAAATGGCTTCGGCTTCCTTTACGTACAACCCGTGCAAGTCGATTTCGTCCGGAGCCGAGTCGGCGTTGTTCGCCTGGAACACGTAGTTGGCGGCCTCAAAGTTCTTGTCTTCCGCCTGCGACAACACCTGCTTCAGCTCGTCGCTGAGCTGCTTCGCCCGCTGCTTATCACCCTGTTTAAACGCCTGCTGGGACTGTCTCAGGAGCTCGGCCCGCTTTTGGTATAAACGGTCGGCCTCATCACGCAACCGCTTGTACTCGCCGTCGGTGGCGTGGTTGTAGTCCTGGCCGTCGGAAAGCTTGACGCCGCGGTCGAAGGTGTCGCCCATTGCCAGCTAAAGGGGGGAAAGCTTGAGGAGATGGTGTTTACCCCGAGGCTGTGTTATGCCTCGCCGCGAGCCTCACGTCACGTGACTAAATGAAACGGCGGCACGAAAACACACAATCCCATCGCATACGCGCGGTACCTTTCCACTAGCTGTATGAAAAATACATGAACAAAGCACGATGATAAATTTGTATTCAAGTGGAAAATCGGTATGTTTTGTATTCAAATCATCAAAGGTTGAAGAATCACAATTCTGTGATGTTTGACGCTTTGAATGGTCGTCCAATACTAGTCTTTACATATTAAGTCGGGCGCTATCCTATATGCAGACCACTGAGCATGAGCTGAATTTACTAAATATTCACGGTGCTCTTGCGCCACGAGTTTTCATCGTAGAGTGATAAGATTACGTTCATTGTGATCGCCGTGGCCAGTATAGTCAATCTTGACACAGAAAAGATCAAATTTCGGAGTTTGAAAAGTTGGGATTTTCCTACAAAAAAAAATAGAATGGCGTTTCAAATTCTTTACATTACGAAATGGCACAACTTTTTCGAACGCCATTTGCTGCCGTCGATATATGTTGTTGGTTGCACTTTCGTGAGTAACATTTGTTAGCACACCTATGGTCTAACTTGTCTGGTTTTAGAAAAAATTGAGGTCAAAGGGTGCGTTTTTGAACTTTTTTACAGTCACGCTTTTAAAATTTCTGACTTCAAAAAGACGCCTAAAAAGGGATGTAGCACCATCTCCAGAAGACTCAACGAGTGTGGGCTCGTTGGCATCGTAGGAGTCGCGGCTACCTTCGACTTCAATCATTTCGCGCTGGGACTAATTTTCAGACAGTTTGCTGTCGGGGGTATCTTTTCCTATATGCAGGACGAATCTCATGCATAGAGGGTTTAATTACCGCACCACTCACGCAAATACACATATAAAGCACCACCACGTTCACACCAAACTACCAACTTTTAGTGCACTGGTGCTGCTTCCTCATTAGTTCAATAGTCTACTGGTGATATTCGACTTCTCCATGGTGTAATTTGCTGCCGCCAAAGAGGCAGTCATAGCTAATTGTGAAGACCTTACTGCTAATCTCTAATCCTTATCGCCACGAGCTCTGTGTAAACCAGTGGGATGTGACTCCAAGTCAGCTCTACTCATTTCTATCATTATCTCACCGCGTGCTATACTATGTTGAGATTTTACTCGTTGAACACAGCTTGATGATCGGCAAGCACTTCTCATTAAGAGGTAGAACATTGTTACATCACATTCTTCTTCCAACCTTATCCAATTCTACCATCACAACTCTACGCTATTAGTCGTCATCGCCAATATAAAATGATCGAATCAGCTTAGATATTTGTATCAATTCAAATTCCTGTTTAATTCGTTTTTAATCATATTTCTCGAAATTTTTCAATTATGGCGAAACATGAACGAAATGAAGCAAACTACGTGGGAGTCCAATGAAACTTGATTTGAAAGTATAGGAGGCTTTGAACAGTCAGCTAATTGAATTGAGAACCTCAAGCATTATCTATGGACCACACTTTCAGAAGATCTCGCTGGTCATGTGAGTGTCTGTGAGGAACAGACTACCTACGAGGGTCTATCTACCAAGGTAAATATAGATAGTGTAAGACATATGAGATTGTGGAGGTCTAAGCTGAGATAAATAGTACTTGTTATTAACAAAAGTCATGTCAGTGCCTCATCGCCTAATTAAGTTGGGGGCACACCCGGGCACCTTGGAAGAACACTCTCGCTGCCAGTCCTGCACCCATGATCGACTTAGTCACATGGCCATGGTCATCGTGGTCTTCACCCTTCATCCCCGGACCCTTTTCGTGGCCAGCATATTGCTTCTTGTACACATTGTCGTACACCCAGGGGAAAGTGGTGTTCGGTTCAAATGATTCAATGTACAACCCGTCGCGCTCGTCTCTCGAGTAGGTGTAAAACATCTTCAAGTGGCGAGCCACTTCGTTAGTGACGCGTTCATTCATCTCCTGAGACGGCTTGGCCAAGAGGAGGTAGTCAGCGAGCCCTTCAATCAATAACTGGTTGAATTTGGAAGGGTCACGCCAGTATCTCAACTCCATCGGGTAGTCACGGTCGTAGAAGAACACGTTGGGATCGGTGGCAGCAGTGGCAAGCTCATTGGCCCGGTCTTGCCAGTGCTTGTCGCCAGTAGCGGCAAAGAGCATCGAGCAGCACGAGAGGGTGGTGCCGGTGTTGTACAGCCACTTCATGTCGTCAACCTTGTCGGAATCGGCCTGCACACCATCACGAATAAGCTTGTCACCCGGGTCTTGTAACACCTTCAATTGCCAGTCAATGGCACGAGCGGCGAAATCGATATACGACTTTGCCTCGTTGGGGATGTGGCGTGCGATTTGAAGACAACACTTAGCCACCTCCGCCGTGGTACAGGCGTTGAGGTAGGGCTTAGTGATGTGCCATTTCATCCCACCTTTAGTCTTGGCTTTGGGGTCGTCGTTCCAGCCCCCCATCAAGAAGAGAGTAAGCTCTCTGCCTTGGTCCAAGTAGCGCTTATCGCCGGTAACTTCAAACGCCGAAAGCATCGCCAGACACACCTGGGCGTCGTCATCGTAGTAGATGTCGCGGTCGTCGCCGCCATTGTTCTCGCAGGCACAATAGCCCTTCACCTTATCGTTCTTGTACCGTTGGAAGATGGCAATGGCATCGGGGATCTGTTGCTTGAGTTCAGGGTAAAGCCGAGCGCCATCGACGACGGCTTGCACCGCCACTGCCACCGCCCAGAGGACAAAGAGCTCGTGGCTGTAGTGGCAGTCGCCGCGGGGGCCGCAGTTGGTGAACTTGCGTTCCCGGGGGTTGAAGTATAAGTTCCAGAAGTTGCGGACGACGTAGTAGCCTTCGAGGGCGGGGTTTTGCAACGGCATGTCGTTTGGTAGGGGAAAAGTGGTTCCAGCAATGGTTGCTGCCGACAATAGTACTTTGAGGCTAAGCGTGAGCGAGGGGGTCACCGAGGGGAATTGTTCGCGGGCATTGTGCAGGCGCACGATTTACATGAAATTAGTCTCAGCCTGTAAGTCGCACATGGCCGCACATGGCTCTCGGGGGGGGAGCAGAAAAAAAAGCAATAGTAGAGTAGTATATTAATCAATTTCATTACGTCATTAACCTAAGCTAGTCCTTGGCGTCCAACGGCTTTCTCACAATGTACAACATCATGGGGGTGAACAACCCTTGTTCACCACCCTTGACCAAGTTGACGGCGGCTTCTTCCAAGGCGTGGGTGACCTTCTTCGAGCCACGGGGAGCGAGACCGATCTTTTCCATGAGGCCAACCCCTTCAGTGGTGATGATCCGGCCAAGCTTCAGGGTTCTGAACCAGGTGAAGTAGTCGCTGAAGGTTTGCACGTACTTGTACTCACCGGAAAGAGGGTACCACCAGGGGATCTCGTCGTCGTTGTCGGCCATGTCGCGGGCGTATTCGATCTCGAACCCGACGTTCTTGAACGCTTCGTTGGCGACCTTGTAAGAGTACATCTTGGGGATCCCGTCCCCAACTTCGATACCGTAACAGATCTGGCGGTGCTCAGGGTTGTTTTCGTCGTACTTGTCGGTCATGACCCACTCGTAGACACCAAAGACACCACCGGGCTTCAACACCTTGTAGATTTCCAGGTAGACACCTTCGAGCACGGGGGCGTGCACGGTGGCTTCGATGGCGTAGACGGCGTCGAACGAGTTGGGCTCAAAGTCCATCTGCATGAAGTCACCCTTAACAAACGACAACTTGTTGGCCAAATTGTACTTTTGCGCGTAGTGGTTGGCTCTTTCGATTTGGTAGTCGTTGTTGTTCAAACCAACAATTTCACAACCAATGAAACGGGTGATTTCCCGGGCGGGACCACCGACACCACACCCGACGTCCAACACCTTCATGTCTTCGGTCAACCCCATCTTGGCCGCCAAAAAGTGTTCGTGTCTCGCCGAGGCTTGACGGAAGGCTTCGCCCTTGTAGTAGCGGGAGAAGTGGAACGAAGACCCCCAACCATACTCGTAGAAGTCGGTGACCAAGTTGTAGTAGTGGTGGGTCAACGCCGAGTAGTCGTCCAACCGCTTTTGTTCGTCTTCCTTGGTGACACCACCGTCAAAGTGACGGAGGTAGCCGTCGATGGCGGCGTCGGTGGCGGCCTGGTCCTTGCCCAAGAACGAGGCGACGGCCCCCTTCTTGGCCCCCTCCTTGTGCATCGACTTCGTGAACTCGCTGTCCCGCTTCTTGTCCACAGTGTTTAACTTGAACTTCTGTTCGGCGGTTGCGGTAGCCATGTTGAATAACTTTGGGATTTGATTAGCAGGGCACGTCGCAGGTATTTATTTGTAAACAAAATTTTTCACTCGTGGGTAGGGTGCATATCGCGGAACGACGGCTTCTTGGATGAAAAAGGCTTGGAGAGACACGGTTTTTCGAGGATGTGAGATGATCGATCGGTGGAGAGCGGCTAGTTAAAGATAACATATAAATTTTATGGTGGTGGTACCACTGCTTTTGGCGTGGCTGGAGGGCTTACTCCAGATCGTCGTTTAGATGGTACGCCTAGACTGTGGCCCCCGCGGCCAGCGAACACGATGGCGCGCCGCTATACGACGAGGGCTATACGACGGCCGTCGTTTACGAACGAAAATAAGAAAAGCGCGGTGCCACCGACGTGCAGTGGTTTATCTGGGGCGGGCCATCGCCGAAGCTACCCGACCAGCACCGTGGGGGCGAAGCCCGTCTCTTCGAGATTGGAGGGTATCGCTGATGTTTTGGTATTACTGATTATGTATCATTTCCCCACTACCTCATTGTTTCCATGTTTTGGGACTACTAATGTGGCACCATTTTGGTTACTACTACTACAGACTACCATCCTCTACGTTCCCCTCGAGTTACCTCATATTAAGTTCCCCACTTCCCCATAAGTTCCGTGCATCACTTACCTCACACCACTTCCACTTGCCATGCACCATTTCAATCCTTAATTTTCAACTTCCCCTTTTTTCCTTATGTCTTTCTTCATGTCTCTCCTTATCAACTAAGGGCTACCGCGTTAGTTTCAAGTCGCGTAGATCGCACTCTACACACACCACACACCCCCTACTGCGCTCACCCCCTACTACTCATTATACCCATCAACCACACTACTCCTTACATCACCCTCAACTTCATTTACCTCCACTATGCTTACACCGCCGGCTACGGGCGTCTCGTTCCGCCACGATCTTCGTCTGCCTAACCAGCCGATCCTGCCCTTTGACTCCTCCGCAGTGGTGCCAGACCAGCCGCTGCTGATATCACAACAAGTGCAAGAGCTCCAGCGTCTTTTTGGAGAAAACGAAAGCTTGATTGACCGCAACATCGAGGGGCTTGAAGCGCTCACACACAAATGGGACCGAACTAAGTCGCATACCCTTGACGATACTCAGAAGACCCTCACCTCGATCGAACACGAATTGGAGGACATGCTCGCTCAGCTAAAGGCCAAACCGACTCGTACCAGTACTCGTCGATCCAGTCGGGCTCCGCCAAGACTACTGAAACGCGTCTCAAACTATCTGGACCACAGCTATCGTCAACCGTCCCCGGTGGACCTTGAACGAAGCAAAACGCTCGATCTGACCTACGCGGCGTTGACCGCTGCTGAGGATAGTTTCGACGTGCTGCAATCAACCCCCAACGACCCGATGGGTCCGTTATACCGCTCGTTTGACCTCTCGCTGCCGAGAATGAGCCCCGCTGTCCGCAAGCGACTCGACGGCATCCTTGGCTCGATGGACGAAGTGACGAAAGTGGTACCGCCGTCCCCAACGAACAACGAGGTGATGACTGAGCTCGTGGGGTCAGTAAGTAACGTCATCGATGCGTTTAGCCTGTGAAATTTTGCATTATATCATGAAAAAAGAAGAATACCTCTATGTACAAGTTTTTCCCCCACCAGTTTTCTTAGAAGGTCTTGGGCGCCAACGACACAATCTTGTTGTAGTTCAACTCGCGCAACTCCTTCGCCACCACACCCCCGACTCTGGTGCCGAGGGGGTCTCCCAGCTTGTTGATCAAGACACAGGCGTTGTCGTCGAACCGCACCACCAGGCCGTCGGGACGTCTAAACGGAGCCTTGGTCCGCACGACAATCGCCCGACAGATATCTCTTCTCTTGACTCTGTTCAGCGCCGCCTGGCCGGTGATATCACTCAGTAAGGGCTTCGCCTTCTTCACGACCACGGTGATCTGGTCGCCGACCTTGGCGAAATTTCTCGGGCCGTGGCGAAGCACTTTGATGCACTCGACCACCTGAGCCCCGGAGTTGTCGATGACGTTGAGAAGTGACTTTAAGTAGATCATGGAATGAAGGTTCCGATGGAGCTAGGATTGGTGAGACGCCTGCTGCTACCGAGTGAAATTTTCGTCAGTGCGCGATATGGTAGCGCTGCATTCACACTAATATATACTACGACTGGTACCCATTAATGAGTCGATGGTCGCCGTCGCGAGTGATTACTGACCGCAAGTCTCGTTTCCAAGGGTTCCATATACCTTTGGCCACCTCTAAAGAGATTCCTACCTTGATAGAGCAATTTCTCGCCGAGAACAAGGCGGCCAAACGCGCTTCCCATCCTCATATCTACGCGTGGAAGACTCAAACTGGCCAGGCAATTGCCCAGGGACACGAGGATAATGGCGAAAAAGGTGCTGGAGCCCGTCTTTTGGATGGTGTGGTGTTAAAGCACGACCTAACCAATATTCTCGTCATTGTCACTCGCTGGTACGGAGGCACCCCTTTGGGAGGCGCCCGATTCCGCCACATCGTCCACGCCGGCGTCGATCTGATCAAACAACGAATGAATTGATTTAAAAATATTTGTTTTATGGTTTTTGATCAATTCTTGAATTAAGTTAGCGATGATCGGTCGCCCCCGGATTTTTTCCGGCCCCAGAGAAATCGCGGCTTGGCTAATAGTATTGGAAACCATGGCTAAGGTGTGGGACGTTCTCGGGGTGGCGGCGTGTGGCTGGGGTGTTTACCAGTGCTTTTTCGCTCTCCCGCTTCCCGATCATTTGAAGAACGGCGGCAACTTCCAATTCCTCACCAACTGCGGCGTGTTTGTGCTGTTACTATACGCGGTGTATAACCTCTTGGGATTGCCCCGGCTGAGGAAGTTTCACGCTTTGGTGGTAGCACTCGAGTTTGAGATCACTGTTGCCTACTGGTACTTCATATTTTTCAGTCCTGGACTGATCAATACCGATAGTTATACCGTTAGACTCATCGACGATTTGCTGTTCCATTTGTTCCCATACATCTATATATTGGGCAAACGGGTGCCGTCGGTGTCATTCAAACAGTTTGCGGCAATTGCTGCGGCTGGTTTCTTTGGCTACTGGGCCTACGTCGAGTACTTAGTGGCGTATTGTGATGCGATCTACCCGTACCCATTTTTGCGGGGTCAACCGCTAGTGGATCGAGCCAAACACTTTGCCATTTTCTATGTTGTCGGCTTAATTCAATGGGTGGTGGAAACACTTAAATCTCCTGCCGCTACCAAAGTCAAACAATCTTGAGAAATCTCATGTAAATCATTAACTAATTTTAAACCTAACCGAAAAGAAAAATATGTACTAAATTCTCTTTTTCATTTGCAATTTAGTATCCCGGACAAAGACTCCGTACAATGCCTTGGTGGCGAGGAACAGCACGAATGCCACTGACCCCACCGCCACAAACACCACCACTCTTTCCTGCTCAGTGTCGACATTCAAGAAGTTGTACGGGTAAGTGCCGCCAGGAGCGATGAGCTGTTTGAGCCACCACCAGTAGCCCGCCGTCAACACTGCCATCACCGTCAATGCCGTGGGAGTAGAGAGGGTCCAGGGGGGCAGGAACGCGAGGTAGTCGATGAACAACAGCACCACGGGCATCAAGTGGATGCACAAGTCTGTCAGAAGCGGCAACTTGAACTTCAGCGGGTCCTCGACCAACAAGTTGATGAAGAAGATCCGCAACGGCCAGTACACCACGGCGACGACAAACTCCAACGCCATGCCGATGGGGTGGAGCAAGTTCTTCAAGTTGAAGAGCGCCGCCAGCTTGGAGATGTGGGCGGCCATCCCCACGCCAAACACGATCAACGAGTAGGCAAGCAGCAAGTTGGTCAAGAACTGCCAGTGGCCGGCATCCTTAAGATGGGGCGGGAGCTGGGCTGAGAGGTTACGAGTGAGCCCGTAGACGCCGATGGCGAACAGACTGGCACACACAGCTAATGCCCACCGGTTTCCCACTGTCCGAGTCATGGTCGATGTGAAATGTTTTTTTTTTCCGTTTTCTCCGACGCCGAGATGGAGATGACTAGGCGAAAGGCAACCTTGCGTATTCACATTTCAGGGTTATATGTAGGACGGAGGGGTAGATAACAAAACGGCTGGGGTACTCATCTCAGCTGATGATGAGGACTAGCCTATGGTAACGAAAAAAGGGGCAGTATATGCCTTGGTGGCCTCGGAGATGTCGAATGATATGGTGGTGGGGCTATCTTTGGCCCTGACCAACGGTCTAGTTGTGGTGAGCAACTATTCCCTCGATTTTCATCCCAATTAGGTTATCTCTCGTATGGTCATTAGCCTCAAGTTTTTGCGGCACTCGTGGCGGTGCGCCACCTGGCAACACAAAAATCACCACAAGCGAAAATTCACCGCCATGGCGTAGCCACAAGTACAAAAATTGAGGTCGTCGGATTGATGGAGAACAAATATCTGGAACATAACATGATGATTTATCGAAGAATTTATTATTTATCACTAAATTTCGGAATTGGTACTCGCCGCTCTTCCGAGCGATCCGCATCCCCTCCCCGCAAATCGATAAGAAAAAAGAAGGAGCTCATCGCATCGCGCTACGAGTCATACACAGGACGTAAATCTGACAAAATGTGTATTTCCTCAAACTCCTAATATGATTATAAACCCCTCTGAAAACTCCCCTAATGACTACTCCGTTTACTTCTTGCCCAGGTCCTCCTTCAAAGTGACGATCTCGTTCATCACGAGCTTGTCGTCAGTGGAGTCCTTGTCCAAGCAGAAGTAGCCCACGCGCAACGCCTGGAAACGCACGGTGTTGTTGCCGGGCTTCTCCTCGACGTTGAACTCCAGGCCCTTGACAGGGACGTTCATCGGCGACTTCGCTTGGACTTCGGTGAGGGCGGGTTCCACCTTGGCCCCCTTGATCACCTCTTCGGAGTCGGCGTTGACGTCGGCCAAGAACCCGTCAGGGTGGGCCTGAGGGTTCTCCAGCTTGAACAATTGCTTGTACACTCTAACTTCAGCGATGTCGCGAGCGTCAGCAGGCACCCACTGGATGTAGGTCTTGGGCTTCTTGGTGGAGTCCTTGTCGTAGTTAACGTGGACTCTCACCGGCTTCCCATCGGCGTCGCGTTCAATCTTGACGAGCGACACGGTGTGGGGCACCTTCATTAGACCCACCGGCTGGCCGGGGGCCAAACGGAAGTACTCCTTGTCGGCGGGCTCTTCTCTGACGTCCAGAGCATCGATGTAGAACTTCTTGGTGAAGGTGAGCTTACGCGAGCCGAAAGCAGCGTCACCAGGCTTGTAAGGGATCTCCACTTCTTCGGCAAAGTCGTCGTCAACGTTGTCGATGACCACTTCCACCGGGTGCAACACCATCATCAATCTCGGGGTGGTTTGGTCCAAGAACCCTCTCACCGCCAGCTCAAATCTCACCACCTGGATGTTGGTGGTGGAAGTAGTGACACCAAGGGTGTTGATGAACGACAAGATGGCCCCGGGAGGGACACCACGGCGACGGATGGCCTCAAGGGTAAACAACCGGGGGTCGTCCCAGCCGCGGACGATGCCTTCGTTGACCAACTTGGCGATCTTCCGCTTCAGAAGCACGGTCCCGGTAATGTTAAGCCTGCCGTATTCTCTTTGCGCCGGGCGGTAGACCCGCAACACGTCGCACAACCATTCGTACAGCTCACGCGACAACTGGAATTCGGTGGTGCACAACGAGTGGGTGATGTGTTCAAAGGAATCGACAAGACAGTGGGTGAAGTCGTAAGTAGGGTAGATCTTCCACTTGTCACCGGTACGGTGGTGCGGGGCGTTGAGCACCCGGTAGGCGACCAAGTCCCACATCTGGGGCGACGGCAGCGTCAAGTCCTGCTTCATTCTCAACGTGGCCTCACCCACGCCGTACTTGCCGTCACGCATCGCCCGGAACTCGGTGAGGTTCTGTTCCACCAGCTTTTCCCGGTGGACACAGGCGAACCGTTCACCACCCAAAGTGCCGTCGGCCTTGAGCCCCCGCCCTTGCTTCATCTGCTCGGCGGTACACATGCACACGTAACCATGGCCCAGTTGGATGAGACGCTCGGCAAGGTCGTACAACTGGTCGAAGTAGTCACTCAGGTAGGTCACCTTGTACGGCTCGAACCCTAACCACGACACCATGTCCAAGATCGAGTTGAAGTACACTTCCTCTTCGGCTTCCGGGTTGGTGTCGTCAAATCTCAAGTAGCAGTTACCGCCACAGTGCTTGGCGTAGCCGAAGTTGACGGTGATGGCCTTGGAGTGGCCAATGTGCAAGAACCCATTGGGTTCAGGGGGGAAACGAGTGAACACCTTGCCGCCGGTGGCTTCGTTTTGGGCCTTCATCAATTCCGGGTATTTCTGAGGCTGTTCACCGGGCTTGTGCAAGTCGCCAAGGAAACCTTCAGAGAACATCAGTCTTTCCGGTTCCGGTTCCTTAGTCGAGGCTGCGGCGGCTTCCTTCTTGGGGGCCTTCTTCTTTTCCTTCTTCACCACGTCCCGCTCGTCCTTGGGCCCGATCTTCTCCAAGAACAACGCGTCGATCGTCGGCTTGAACACCAGCGCGGGCGCCCACTTCAACGCCGGCACTTTGCGGAGCTCCCCGAGCACTTTGGGCAAGCACAGGTATCTTTCGGCAGTGATGCGGTCGATGTTGGCGTCGACGTACTTGGCAATCTCCGCCTTGGTGTCGGCCTCGCTCAATTCCTGGCCGATCCCCGCCGCGGTAGCAAACGCGGCTTCGTCGACGGGGTCCGCCAGGTACAAGTACTTAACCCCCTCCGTCACTTGCAAGGCGGTCTTGATACCCCCCAGAGCGATTTGCTTGGTCAAAAGCGAGCGGTGGGGGATGTCGCCTTGCTTCAGTTCCACCGCCACCTGTTGTACGAGCGCCAACTGTTTGGCGTCGAGGGCGACGCCGGCGAGGTCGTTGGTGAGGATCAGCTCCAACGCCAGCGCCACCTTCTTGTTCTTCACAAGCTCCTTGGTTTTCTTTTCGTCAATGCCCACCTTGGTGAACAAGGCCACCAACTCGTCTTGCGATGACATGGTCGTGGTGGTGTTTTTCAGAGTGCGACTCGTTAACTGGGGCGCGCCTAGCATAGAAGAAATTCGTGGAATGTGTGGTGGTCACGAGGACAGAAAAATGAATGGGATGATCAGCATTATTTACACGTGAGTCATCAATTCATGTGTTTGGCTTAGTTCTTTATCGTGGACACGGGGTGTCAGGATGGGGGTGCAGTGAGTCATCGGCTTATCGCGCGCTCACTGATAACACGGATCGTACGACCCTCATTAATAAGGATGGATAGATATACAATGTCAGGTTGAAGCGGAATGAATTGAAGCACACGCTTGTTTGTCAACTGTGTTTTTGGTCCTGATAAAATTGACCCTGGCAATTTGGCATCAGCTCACCAACATCGCCGTTGCCTTAGCTTGGATAAGAAGCTTGGCCTCATCTACTCGACTTTCCAGCACTTTGGCCCCACTGAAACACACATTTGGGATTGAGTAGCTGTCAAAATCGGCCACAAAATTCCAAAGGTGATGGAGGTCATGGTAAGCTTTTCTTGCGGGACCGCCCCGTACCTCAGCCGTCGCCCATTTTCCAATTGGAACAAAGGCCGACCGCCTTCCACTTTAGTATCTAAGCACCAATCTGCTTGACACAACCCCATCCAGGGGCAAGGTTTTGTCTTATCTCCGTGGGCTCTTAGAGTTCTTTACCTCGGTATCGCCGAAGGTCTAGCCTGGGGGGTTAAAACTAGCTGCGCTGCTCTTTGCCGGCAACCGTTATATGTCATGGTATGTGTATCTAGGAGTAACCGCTGATCCTGGGTACTTTAACGAAACCTTGGAAAATGCAATGATATATGATTTCGACAAGAGTCTTTGCTATTCTAACGGCAAAAGCGCTTCCATTGGCTTACTTCTTCTGTATCTATTCTCAAATAATCCGCGCATGAAACTTGCCGTTCCTCGTGTACTTGCGTAACGGTCACAAGAACACTTATGGCTATACCCACCCCATTGACGTGCTTTTCTGGGTTACTTATAGCCTATAATTATTGCCACTTAAAGTCGAACATTATACACAAGCTGAATCTGACATCTTTCTGACCTCGACTCGGCTCGAACGAAATTGATCTGCCAAGTGATGCAGCGGATACTTAACCGATTCCGCAACAACGAAAGTGGCGAGTTTCAGGGCAGGCTGCTGAAGAATTACCCATTTGTGCCAGTAGCATTAGTTGAAGGGTTGTTTAAGCAAAAGATGCTAGAGTTCACAAAGTTTCAAAGCAAATTCTGCTTTTCAGATGACAATGAGTGGGTTTTTGTGGTATCGAAGTTTGTTACTGGTAGAGGTAAGGTCATGGGCATTCTTTGCTTTAAAGGGAAGGACAAATCATTATGTGCCCACGAGAAGTATTAGGGCAAATCGGGTTTCCCACTGAAGAGATACACAAACAGGGACTCCAAGAGACTGAAACTGTGTGGACTAACGAATGGAACTCTCTCCGTCTAATTGTCGATGCCTCCGGCTTTGACTATAATTAAACTGGACGACTATAGACTGATTCGTTGACATTTAATTGGGATCTGACGGCACTTGCGGATATCCTACACATGTGTTTTTAGCAGAGGTCGCAGTGGCGCTCGAAATAGTGTAGGCCGCAATATGAAGCAACCTCCAACCAAGACTCAGATGTAGCAATGCTGACCACACAATCAATTCATTCACTTCGCAACGTAACATCGAGAATCTCGTAAGTTTTGCCTCGTACCTTGCTATACCTTGTTATGATCGCACGCAAAACTGCTCCTCTTGGGAGCTTTCAAAACGCCGTAAATCAAGCCCCAGGTTGACTTTAAGAGCAAACCCGCTATAATTACTCCTACCTATTCCACCGGCTTATAGCCAGAGGTTAAATTACAACTCGAACCAGGCATATGAGACGAGCACACCGATGCAGCTAAAATGCAAAATTATTCAATGATTCGTCTAAACCGAGAACAGAAGCTTATACCGCAACCGTTGGTGAAGGGATTATAGAAATTGAACTATAATCGCATGTCTCATGTCTATAAACAGCGTGACAACTTTGAGTAAAAGTAAACTATTCACCAAATTTATAAGTCGCTAAAAAAAAAGCAAAGGCACGCTAGTGTTGTAGAGGCTTTGCCTCTACACCGATATGATCTTTATTAGTGATATTTTAATATACTACAAGCACAACCTTCAGTTGAATTTGATGGTAGTTTTACTTTATGAGAATCGACATTGCCAGGATCCTCAGAATAACCCGAAAGTTATCAGATTGGTTTTCCGACTTGCGGTCAAAGTCTTTGGGAGTTATGCTGTAGGTGTAGTACAGTAAACAGGGGTTGGTAAGCTAGCGCCTAGGGGTAAAAAGTATGGTAATAAAAGTGTAAACAAATATAGATATATATAAGTATAAACCTTCCCATCTGCTTCCAGGCGATGAGCAGAGGACACAACGTGCAATCTGAGTAACGCAACTCCGATTCTGCAGTCGTTAGACCGAAATTGTGCTCGCGCTTCGACAAATCATCTAGCTAAATAATGGTGTCACAACAATCATGTAATAGGCGATGACTTCAGCTCCAATGGAATTTGGTAAAGCGAGTTGAATATCGTCTAATCCTGCATTTCAACCCAAAGCCTGCATACAGCTAGAGGTGCATATGCAACAAGTCCCAAGTCAGAAACCACGGCCACTTACAGCTCGAGCAGAAGCCAATCAGCCCTGAATACGTTTTACAATGCTCGTGTTTTTGATCATATATTAGAAAACCTTGAAAAGCGATGTCATTTTTCTTCTTATCTTACAAGGACTATGACGTGAGCGACGAAAGTAGTACGATGGTAGTCTCCAGAGTCGCCTACAAGGTATTGTGATGTCTGATGGAAGGTACATGACACTTGACAATAAACTACCGCTCGAGCAACACACTAGTATGAACTGTCCACCGTGTTGCTGGTATACTCACTATAATGGCTTGTATCACACAACTCTAGTTTGCAAATGGTAGTCCTGCNGCCATTGTTAACATTATCATAAATAGGACTAGTTAGCCTACTAATAAAACAACTTGATCAAAGTCTGTTCTACATATGAATATTCCACTTGTGTTTACACCACAAGAGCGTGGAGCTCTTGTGGATCGAGTTCAACAACACTAAAAAAAATTCTATAAAATCAGGAAAAAACGATAAAATAAATCTGACTATTTCATAAATTTCTTTGGCCCCAAAAGTATAAGTGAGGCGTTTTTGGGCAAGTTCCTGTACGATATGAAGTGGTTTGGGCAGTGGTAAGATTTTCAGTGTTCAAAAGGCAATAAATCGGTCGTTTTGCTTCTTAAGTGATACGAGCACTATGTATAATGCTGATGGCCGTCTGGGTAAGATCTTGTAACATGTGGAGCTGTTTAAACATCCATTTGTATTACCTGCAAGATGTGTTGTTGTATGCAGTACACAAGAAACCCATATTGATATCAACCACAGATAGCTGGTAAGTTTCGAAGTTCATCACCGTTTTGAAGGTAACACGCCGAAGTGTTGGCTACATAAGTCTAATGATGTTCTATGGGATCTTGAGCCAGTTGTGAAGACTTCAGGTAAGTTTGCAAGTACATTCTGCATGTAGTGTGAGAATCGTCAGGTGAAGCTGGGAACGTTCGTGAGACGAGTTGAGTGATGCTGATGCCTTGTCATCATTCACACAAGTGTAATTTGTCTTCAATAGTACTCGGACTCTTCAAATTGAGATGAAAAAAAGTTTAAAAAAAAACTTCTTGTTTTTCTTTGAAATAATTAGCCGACGTTTTTGACGAGCTGCGCGGTGCATTATATGCAGGAAGCAAATAAGTTGAATGAACAACTTGAAAACTTTTTTAAAAGTGTTTGTAAGAAGTGGAGTTGTTGTTACTACAATCATAAGGATTTGATTCTTCAGGACTGACAAGCCTCATGTTGCCTGGCGGCTACAAACGAAGCGACTTCTGCGGTCTGATGCAGAGCATTGCATGCAGGTCGTCTAGCGAGACTCGATATTAATTAATTAAGTTGTCACTAGCTAAGCACCACACTCCATCCTTTGCTCAATAACAGCTAGTGTTATGCATAAGATGTTTGAGTGATCACATGTAATTGGTGTGCTGGTTACCCTGTGAGGGGTCACTAGCACAGAAGGCGAGTTGAACGATAGGGACAACGTGTACTTTCGTCCATGACTTTAACTAGCTCCCTCCCTCTTAAGACGCTTGGTTATAGTCGATAGCATTGTATTGATAAGACAACAGCGAATGACCCAATTACTGACAAGAAGCCTCCAACTGGGGCAGGCTCAGGACCTGACTCCCTGAAGATTTTAATTTGATCTTTCGTAACTGCACATCAGGTTGACTTTCGAAGCATTATTTCAAAATATGAAACAACACGCACGGAGTTGAGAGTTAACACGCGGGCCAAAAGCTACAAAATGGGTAACTCTAAAATCACAACTGATGGGTTTTGTCAACAACGTAGGCTTTAGTTGGCAGCCACCAATAAGTGCACCAGATATATATCAAAGACTCACTTACATAATAGTGAAAGTGCAAGTAAACCAATTTCACTAACAGATCTTGACACTCCTGCTAGAACCCTCCAGCAGCAGCCTCAAAACTGTTGTTGCTCTCAGTCTTGACATAACATGGTAGCGCCGCAAAATTAGCCAGGGAGCCTTATTTGCAGAGCACAAATTATTTCGTTCAGGCATGAATTTCGACTGATAGCCGCGAATACCAATATTCTGGAAGAACAGTTTCACTCGCACTAAGCTCATTGACTAGTCACCACAAGCTATGAAACGCCTGAGGTTTGAGCGGCTTCTATCTAGGATGTCTACAGTTTTAGGATTCAGAGTGTTTTATTATTGGCGACTATACAATTGCTTTGATTGCTGATCTATACAAGTGCCTACAAAATTATCACAAACCAGACCCCGAACCTACAAGTAACCACCAACCCCACT